ATATACAGATATATATCTCAACTGTGTGTTTAGCTGTGCCTGAAGTTCAGCATTCATTTTCAACTTTAACTTCCTTGAGCTGTAGTTCAGTATTACCTGACTGGCTGAGGTAGTGTTTGACAATTGAAGACACTCCATGTGGAGTCACAAGGTTGTAAGATCCATCTTTCACCACCATCCCTTCTACAACATCACTTATTGGTTTCAGGATGCCTTTTGCTACTAGCTCATCGTGAAACCTAAAAAGATAAAAACAAATATGGGTGAATAATACAACAATTTCAATTCACACACTAAATAATCCAGTTAGGTCTAAATATAGGAAAAAAGGGGAATATCATATGCTACATTCAATATGCTATAGCTTAGGCAGAGAGAACAGTGTTCCTTTATCCTAACAGCTTCTTACAATTGGTCACTGTCAGTCAAGTGGTGATGAACAATTCCCATTATAGATGTCTGCATATATTCATTACCATGAAGACTAAACAAATAAGCATGCTTAAATAAATGTATGTATTTTATTACTACATTTAAAGTGTATCTTGGTGTATCTCTCAATGTGTCCTGGTAATCACTGGCACAGGGATGAAGGGAAAATGATAACTTTTTAATTGCCACAGGAACAGAAATAGAGAACAAGTCTTCCAATGGGGGCACCTGTTCCAGTGACAACTATTAAAGAGGGAATTCCCCTCACTTTGTAGAGATTTCCTCTCACTTCTTGTTGTCTCTCTTGGGAAGAAAGTTAAGGGAAATCTCCCCAATGGGACAGAGACCGTAAAAAATAAATGGACAGGATAGTTTTAAACTTCTCCTTCTGCCAAAATTTAAAAAATGGCTACAAATACACTTTAAAATGGCTTACAGGCTTGTGTACAGAGATAACATTCTCTTTGTGATGCTTCATAGATTCAGGAACTGGTTTTTGTTCTTCAAATCAGTGCTGCGGTAATGTGTAGTTAATCACACTAAATACATGATTTGCGGCACTTTATGCACCACTCTGCCTTAGTAAATGAAGTCCTTGATTTTTACAGAGCTGGTTACATTGTATGTGCCGTATATTTCATATTATTATTATAAAAAGTCTCACAGTTTGTGCTTCTGAGCATAGTCCGGGGTGACAGTAATGTACTGAGCTCCTAGGTCAACTGTGCACTTTGGATCTGAAGGACAACGGCTTGTAGACATGCGTCCTCCTAGAAAGAAAAGGGATAAGACATCACTCATTTAACAAACAGGCACTAGAGTAGAACTTCATATTATTATATTAGTGACAAACTGAAGTTAAAACAAAATAAAGGGTTTTTTTGTTTTGTTTTTTTATGCAAACACTCTGGAACTGCAAGTTCAATATAGTGCATGCATTCTTGCAAAACTACGTGTCTTGGCTTTTCTAGATGACCAATTTGCTGTGCAGGCATAGTGTAGGGCCGGGATTCTCCATTTCTTCCTGGTTTAAGCTCTGCAGGCTGAACAGCCCATAGGTCATAGGCTTTCCACACTTCCATCTCCTTACGTCATTATGCTCCTACACTTGCCTAAGGCCTTGTTTTTGCACACGCAGTGCAGTGGGTTGTGCCGCGTTTTTGAAGTGTTTGCCGCGTTTTTGATGCGTTTTTAGTTTAAAATGGGCTTTCAGTGCATTCCAGGCGTTTTTGATGCGTTTGCATGCGTTCCAGAGCAGGTAAAATAGGGCCTGCTGCAGTTTTTTTTTTGCCTGCTCTGGAACGGAAAGCTGCGATGTGAACTGGAGCTAAAAATACCATTGGAATACATTGGACGCAGTTTTACTCCAGTCTGTAACTGCTCTGCTCCGCGCTTTGTGTGAATAAGGCCTAAGGAGCAGAGCTAATCAATGCACAGAACTGTGAAGTTAACTCCACCTGTACCCTGTCCAGTGTTCTTCTTTTTCATTTGATTAACAGCTGAATATAATATAATGAACAAATAGGTAATTACAAAAATCAGCAGAAAGGGAGGATTAGGCCTGGTTCACACCTAGGCAACAGCGATTTTGCGCATTTAAAGTGCGTTCTTGAGCGCATACAGAAAAAAGCGCGTTTTTGTGAGCAGATTAAAGTTCATTGCTGTTAAGGAGAAAAATCATCGCATAGAGATTAAAGATGAACTATGCTCACCTCCCCTTTAGAACTGTGACATTCACAAGCTCCCACGCCTGCTCGGACATCTTTGCACGCTTTTTTTCCAAGTTCAGGATCTTCAGCCAACTTGATTGGCCGTGCCCGGGTGACATAACTCTCATGCATGTGCAGGAGTTCATTCCTCCCAGATTGTACACTGAGCTGCCCATGACAGTAAGAAGGTAAACAGACAGGTCACAGGCCTTTATTGCATAAGAGAAATAATAGGTCTCATCTGCAATAACATGCCCGCCCAGTCACCCTATTATATTTTCACATAGAGTTCTGTGGAGTACAATATGACAGGGCCACTGAAGGGTCTATGGAGTACAATATGACAGGACCACTGAAGGGTCTATGGAGTACAATATGACAGGACCACTGAAGGGTCTATGGAGTACAATATGACAGGACCACTGAAGGGTCTATGGAGTACAATATGACAGGACCACTGAAGGGTCTATGGAGTACAATATGACAGGACCACTGAAGGGTCTATGGAGTACAATATGACAGGACCACTGAAGGGTCTATGGAGTACAATATGACAGGACCACTGAAGGGTCTATGGAGTACAATATGACAGGACCACTGAAGGGTCTATGGAGTACAATATGACAGGACCACTGAAGGGTCTATGGAGTACAATATGACAGGACCACTGAAGGGTCTATGGAGTACAATATGACAGGACCACTGAAGGGTCTATGGAGTACAATATGACAGGACCACTGAAGGGTCTATGGAGTACAATATGACAGGACCACTGAAGGGTCTATGGAGTACAATATGACAGGACCACTGAAGGGTCTATGGAGTACAATATGACAGGACCACTGAAGGGTCTATGGAGTACAATATGACAGGACCACTGAAGGGTCTATGGAGTACAATATGACAGGACCACTGAAGGGTCTATGGAGTACAATATGACAGGACCACTGAAGGGTCTATGGAGTACAATATGACAGGACCACTGAAGGGTCTATGGAGTACAATATGACAGGACCACTGAAGGGTCTATGGAGTACAATATGACAGGACCACTGAAGGGTCTATGGAGTACAATATGACAGGACCACTGAAGGGTCTATGGAGTACAATATGACAGGACCACTGAAGGGTCTATGGAGTACAATATGACAGGACCACTGAAGGGTCTATGGAGTACAATATGACAGGACCACTGAAGGGTCTATGGAGTACAATATGACAGGACCACTGAAGGGTCTATGGAGTACAATATGACAGGGCCACTGAAGGGTCTATGGAGTGCAATATGACAGGGCCATTGAAGGGTCTATGGAGTGCAATATGACAGGGCCATTGGAGGGTCTATGGAGTGCAATATGACAGGGCCACTGAAGGGTCTATGGAGTACAGTATGACAGGACCACTGAAGGGTCTATGGAGTACAATATGACAGGGCCACTGAAGGGTCTATGGAGTACAATATGACAGGACCACTGTAGGGTCTATGGAGTACAGTCACCCTGCTCAAGGAAAGGGAGCAGCAGTGATTGGTCTTTATTATAGAAGTTATTTTTTTACTTTATCATTCTAGAGACTGTGAAAAAAAATACACCAAGGACACCAAGAGTCAGAACAGGATATGCATGCCTCTTGTATGTGACAAGTTTACTTTCCAGGAATATTGGCACTGTAAAATAAGGCTTCTTATCGGTATGGAGGTCAGGCTCCAGGAATGACCTTGTATGAACTCGGAGTGTCTGGGGGGACATTTAAGGAGAAAATCTGTAGACATGCATTGTTCAGTCTGTAATGTCAGTGTGTAGTGTGCAGGTTGTGCTGTGTAGTTTGTAGTGTGCAGTCTGTAATGTCAGTGTGTAGTTTGTGCTGTGCAGTGTGTAGTTTACAATAGACACTACCATACATAACAGGGGCTGTGTTTTCTAGCCGATCCTCCCACTTCCTCCCAGTGTCAGCTGTCAAGTGTTGGGGTATTACCTGCTCCCCGGGATTTGTCCCACACTACGAGCTGAATGTTTGCGGTCACTTCCCTCCTCAGGAGGTGAGCACACAGACTGCCTGTCAGCCCGGCTCCAACGATCAGTATCCGGGCCATGATTGTACACCAGTCACCGGTCTATGCCACTTGCATGTGACTGGTGCTGGCCAAACAACCCTTTCCCTGGGTGGTGCTATACAGGGGAAAGCTGAGCTGCGCTACACCATCAATACAGAGAACCTGAACTCCGAAGTCACATGATCTGCTCTCTACACCTCCCCTGGGACATTTACTGACATGCAACCGGTTCTCTTGTTCTGTGTGCTGGGTGTAATTCTCAGTATATGTTCTTCTGTATATATGGACTCTGCACAGTAACACTTCTCTTGTCCTGTGTGCCGTGTGTAATTCTCAGTATCTGTTCTTATTCTGTATTTATGGACTCTGCACAGTAACACTTCTCTTGTCCTGTGTGCTGCGTGTAATTCTCAGTATTTGTCCTTATTCTGTATATACGGACTCTGCACAGTAACACTTCTCTTGTCCTGTGTGCTGGGTGTAATGTTCAGTATCTGTTCTTCTTCTCTATGTATGGACTCTGCACAGTAACACTTCTCTTGTCCTGTGTGCTGGGTGTAATTCTCAGTATATGTTAATAGTCTGTATATATGGACTCTGCACAGTAACACTTCTCTTGTCCTGTGTGACGGGTGTAATTCTCAGTATATGTTAATATTCTGTATATATGGACTCTGCACAGTAACACTTCTCTTGTCCTGTGTGCTGGGTGTAATTCTCAGTATATGTTCTTCTTCTGTATATATGGACTCTGCACAGTAACACTTCTCTTGTCCTGTGTGCCGGGTGTAATTCTCAGTATATGTTAATATTCTGTATATATGGACTCTGCACAGTAACACTTCTCTTGTCCTGTGTGCTGGGTGTAATTCTCAGTATATGTTCTTCTGTATATATGGACTCTGCACAGTAACACTTCTCTTGTCCTGTATTCCGGGTGTAATTCTCAGTATCTGTTCTTATTCTGTATTTATGGACTGTGCACAGTAACACTTCTCTTGTCCTGTGTGCCGGGTGTAATTCTCAGTGTATGTTAATATTCTGTATATATGGACTCTGCACACTAGTGTGTATAAAGGTAAACTACAGGCATTAAAAAGGGAATAAGCTTCATACTATACTAAAAAAAGACAAGTTTATGATGTAAAGAAGAATAGATATGTGTCTATGTGTCTATTCTTGGAATTGTGAATCCTGTGACTGTCATGCACATGACAGTTTTAATTCCCTTTTTGGTCTTAATCATACCCCTTAATAAGAGTTCCCATGTGATTTTCATGTACCTTATTTTATCAGAGAATCTGGACATTAGATGAATGGCAGCTCAAAGTGTATGTCCAAAGTGTAGTTTTGGATAGAGAGGAGAAGGATTAGAACCCCTGGCAAGTTTTTACTGCTATCCAAGTCTCCATTAGAGACATTTCCTCCCACTTAATGATTATATATTTTCTCTCTATGATACAAAATAATACTAATTGTGGTTTGCTATTAATACCAAATATCATTATCTATACAACGAGCTCAGTGTTGTAGGCTAGTAATCAAATCATCAGAACGCTTTAGAACACAAACTTTAATATTTTGACCTCATTAACTTTGATTTTAAAGCTGAACTCCAGGGAAAAAAGATTTACCCTTGCAGTGGGCCATTTTACCCAATGCCTGTTTTGCCTAGGGAAGTGGTTCTCATCCTGTGTAACCTCAGGACCCACATTTGTCCTTGGTCACACCGCACTGGAACGCACAGTATTGCAGTACTTCACGGTACTGTGCTTTCCGGTGCAGGGACGTATGGATGGAACTCCCTCACAGCCATATCCCCAGTCCACCCCCCCTCAAGCTGACACTGGGCAGCATATTTTGAATGGCTGCTCAGCGCGAGAACTGACAGTACTGCGATAGGGGGAGGTTGAGGAGCCTCTTACCTAGCGCAATGGAATTGAAAGGCATGTGACGACCCACTTTTGGGTCGCAACCCACCAGTTGAGAACCACGGGCCTTGGGAATGATGAATAAGATTATAGACTTACCTTATTGCTCGCTCCCTTGACAGCTGGCACTTCTCCCTGCTATCAGAATGCGAGCGCGCCCCCAGTATCCTTCCATACAATGTAGGACTACGGGGTGACATCAGAGAGCTGCGGCTGGCCAGGAACAGGCTTTGAGGGACTGGTCACACGTGAGGAATAAGGTAAGTCCATTACCTTATTCATCATCCCCAAGCAAAACAAGCAGTTAACCCTTGCATTTGGGAGGGTGACCAATCGCAAGTGAAAATCTTTTTTATTTCCCGGAGTTCAGCTTTAAAAGAAATTGGCTTTATAAGCCAGTTGTCATATGAGCTATTAGACTCTGCAGCAGTTTCCATGGTGATAAAGATATTTAGCTACATGTATCCATAAGATTTTATTATTATGATAATACTCTTTATTCCCCCTGCGGTGGTAGTGCCACTCATGTGAGACTAGGCATGCTATTACTGTGGTGAAAAAAGGACTTGCACATTGCGGTGTGCTATTGCTGACATCCTTGTGGCATTTCATATAAACCAGCAGCAGAAACAATAAATATACATTTGTTTACAGATGAGCTTGCCGATTTTCGGCCATGGAGATGAAATGGAGCAATAGATCTACACATATTTCAGCACTTGAATAAGGGAAATGCTATAACCGAATCCAATAATCTTTCTTTTCAAGCTGTAATAGGAAAATGACAACTGGTGTCCAAGTGGTTATTATGAGCTAGATGGCCACTGATGTCCAAGATGTGCGCCACAAGCTAGATGTGGCCTGCCAGCTCCTCGTGTGTAGACTGCTGTGCTCCAGACCTCCATTAAGGCTTCAAGTTTTACCTTTCATAAAGTTTTTAGACAAGACAAAAAGAAAATTACACTAAGCATCTCGTATGACAAATGCAGATATATAGTCAATAAAGGTCAGGTATCTGCATAGGCTTCAAGTTTTAATGGCATTGGGTCTCAGCCAAAACCTAGTAATTGAGCCAATCTTTGGACTTGTCATCCTACTTCAGAGCACTCAGTAAGAGGGCTCCCCAGCCGGCCAGGGCAGCACTATTCTATTCATCTATGACACCACCTCTTGTGTCTCTGGCATTTGTGTTCGAAAGTAAATTCAAAATTAAAACAATCTGCAAGTTTAGCAAATGTAACTCCGTGACCCAGTTTACAGACTTTCTTGTAACACCAGTCATACTTACATGCGAGAGTACCGATGGTTCCTCTTAGAGTCAAGGAATGAGGTCACTCCTCACTCTGAAAAGAGGCTCCAGAATACTTAATATACATATGCCTGGGTTGCCAAGATTTGAATTTGGGTAACAGCCTCCAAAATTGTGTTATTTAAATCCCTTCCATTCTGACAGGAAAAGCTTTGACGCTTTCCTCATATACTATGATGGGCAACCTCAATGACTGATGTGCAGGAGGTATGGAAGCTTTCCCTGCCAGAATGGTCTGGGGTTCTGCTGTAACTGCAGGCTTTGGAAGATGCTGCAGCCATTATTTTTCAAAACCTGGAGTCCCTTTAATCACAGGACCACCAATATCCTAAACCTGTTTCTCTCGTGGGGCTAGAAATGACCCTGAATCTACGTGTGGGCCCAGAACTGCAGCTCTTTAGGTTCATATGGTTAAAAAGTTACCTGAGTCCTTGTTGATTCTTCATAGACAGTGGCCAGATTTACCATTAGACAAGGTAGCAGTAGGTATGTGCCTCAGAGGAATAAAGGTGGCTTTTCCCCGTACAATATTTGGCCACACATTTCTTTCCTTATCAGTAGGAACAGTCAATTCGTATAAGATCATTTACACATTATCACAGTATTCTGAAGTTGGCTATACACATTTCTATTTTCTTTGTTCAACCTGCTGGCTGAACAAAGAAAATAGAACAGATTCCTTTATTAACACTTGAGCATTGATCGAGGAATCTCAAACTATTTGCATTGTATTCTGACGGCAGCCGCCTGCCTCTATCAGAATACCCGAACAGAGTGAGGAGCTCATTGGTTGTTTGCTCTGTTCGGCCGAGAAAAGTAATTGCAGTACTTCACGGTACTGTGTGTGATTGTTCACTAATTGCCATGGCAAGATACCACCTTTGTGATTCCAAGGCTATATTTTTCTTGATAAAACAATATATTTGCTTTTTTTTTTACTGTATACACTACACAAAAAATAATTGTAAAGTATAAAACGTTTGTCTGACACATACTGTACATTATAAAAGAAATGAACATAAAGAAGGAAGTGACTCAACTTCCCTCTCTGCTTTTATCTCTTTATGGATATTACTCACCACACTGATACCTTGACAATGATCACCCCTCACCCAAAGCATCTGATAAATCTGACTTTCTGTGCTGTTTGAATGTGACCGATATACCAAAGTTTAGCTATTTACCAAGCATAAATGATCAGCTATTCAAGCCTGTGGTTATCACTAACTAGTGGTAAGGGCTAGTTCACACAAGGTGCAGTTGTGATACAGTCCGATCAGTTTGGCAGCTGCATCCAAATCGCATCACAATGCTTTCCAATGGGATTTCTGGTGCACTGTTCACACCAGTGCAGTCCCTTCCGATGCAGTCAGCAAAAAAAAAATACTGCTGGCCTAATTTTAGCTGCACCTGATTGGAATGGAACGCATCAAAAATACATGCAAACGCACTGGACTGCACCTGACAGCCCATTTTAAGCTATAAAAAAACGCTGTAAAAGGCGGCAAAACACATCGCACTGCAGCTCCGCAGACGCAGGCAGTTATGGTGTGAACTAGCCCTTATACTTTTTCAGTGTATCTTTGAATCAGCACTTACTGACATGAAACACAGCAGAGACCCTGATATAGTATGTATCATCTCCCATTCTCTAATCCAACCTTTCTCAACCTTTTTTTTTTTTTAACCTCCTTAAAATAATTTTCTCAGGTAATCCCTGCTAAAACTAAATTTTGGGATCATTGGCAAAAATAGCGCTTACAGCGGTGGTCAATGGGAAGAATACCCTCCTCCCAGTGGTGATCAGTGGAGGAATGCCCCCCTTACAGTGGTGATCAGTGGGAAGAATACCCTCCTCACAGTGGTGATCAATGGGAAGAATACCCTCCTCACAGTGGTGATCAGTGGAGGAATGCCCCCCTTACAGTGGTGATCAGTGGGAAGAATACCCTCACAGTGGTGATCAATGGGAAGAATACCCTCCTCACAGTGGTGATCAATGGGAAGAATACCCCCCTCACAGTGGTGATCAATGGGAAGAATACCCTCCTTACAGTGGTGATCAATGGGAAGAATACCCTCCTCACAGCGGGGATCAATGGGAAGAATACCCTCCTCACAATGGTGATCAATGGGAAGAATACTCTCCTCACAGTGGTGATCAATGGGAAGAATACCCTCCTCACAGTGGTGATCAGTGGAGGAATGCCCCCCTTACAGTGGTGATCAGTGGGAAGAATACCCTCACAGTGGTGATCAGTGGGAAGAATACCCTCCTCACAGTGGTGATCAATGGGAAGAATACCCTCCTCACAGTGGTGATCAATGGGAAGAATACCCTCCTCACAGTGGTGATCAATGGGAAGAATACCCTCCTCACAGTGGTGATCAATGGGAAGAATACCCTCCTCACAGTGGTGATCAATGGGAAGAATACCCCCCTCACAGTGGTGATCAATGGGAAGAATACCCTCCTCACAGTGGTGATCAATGGGAAGAATACCCTCCTCACAGCGGGGATCAATGGGAAGAATACCCTCCTCACAGTGGTGATCAATGGGAAGAATACCCTCCTCACAGTGGTGATCAATGGGAAGAATACCCTCCTTACAGTGGTGATCAATGGGAAGAATACCCTCCTTACAGCGGTGATCAGTGGGGAGAATACCCTCCTCACAGTGGTGATCAGTGGGAAGAATACCCCCCTCACAGTCGTGATCAATGGGAAGAATACCCTCTTCACAGTCGTGATCAATAGGAAGAATACCCTCCTCACAGTTGTGATCAATGGGAAGAATTCCCTCCTTACAGTGGTGACCAGTGGAAGAATACCCATGATTCTTTTCTGATACACTTTAATACTAGGTGAGGGCATCACTGATGTCAATAGCAACATTATGAAAGCTCAAAGCACTAGCATTGTTTTTGCTAAATAGCTAGGAGAATTCAATGTTCACTTTACAGAAAATCCTTTTAGTATAAATTCATTACTGCTAAATGTCTTCAAGCTTTATGTACAACATAATATTACAGACCTCACACATGTAATAAAGATAAATCCGATTATGTATCCTGCAAACTTCCAGTCCATTACTTACAATGGAAATGTATGTCATATGATTCTGCTCTTAGTCATTATGTTAGGTTTTATGTATGCAATGCATACGCACAGTAATTATGTCATATAATATTATATATATATACACAGCATATATTTGTTATAAATAGTTAAGAATTCAACGGGAATACTCGTTTCCAGACATTTTCCCAATGTTTGAAGACTTTTGCATTTTTTTTTTGGTGGTTCTTATAATCACCATAAGTGGTTCCCATACATATAACCTGTGACTTTGCCTTTGGAGTGCCCACCATCCAAGGCAAAGTCACGGGTTATATGGATGGGCTTATATACAGTAGATATGTAGCGGTTTATGTTAAAAGCAGGGTAGGCAACTTTGGCACTCCAGCTGTTGTGGAACTACAAGTCCCATAAGACTTGGCATTGCAAGGCTCTGAAAGACAAAGGCATGGCTCCCTCAGGAAGATGCATAATGGGATTTGTAGTGTCACCACAGCTGAAGTGCCAAGGTTTCCTACCCCTGTTATAAAGTGTACCAAAAAGAAGCCTTGTTGCCGACAGAAAGCAGCCAAAATCCTTGGATGACAGACACTGGTGGTTGTGTGATGTGATCCATTGGACATTAATACGTTACATTGGGTTATATGAGCTTGTTGCTCATGGTGTATGTGTATAATCTCCAATCTCAGTTGATTGTGCTCACACTCCTGGGTGGCACTGTGTGACTGGTCACGTGATAACAATATGTGGTCACTAGGAACGCGTACTGTGAGCTGTGCAGCGTGATAGTTGTAGTTTCCGGTCGGAACCTTTTGATGGACGGACAGTAGGAGGAGCAGTGCAGGGCTGATCTCTCAGTGTGTTCTGTGACAGTCAGCTCAGCTTCCTGCTGTCATCCAGGAGCACAGAGGAGGAAGCACAGCACACAAGACGGGTGGTAAGAGCGTCCACAGCCCCCTATTATTTACATTGTCTGAGCTGTCTCTCCAGGTGACATTCCAGCCTGTCACTGTGATTGGATGAGAGGAGGACCCCTCTGGCTGTATGACAGGACCCAGGAATGTGGGTTGGGTGCTCTGTATGATCTGTGCTGTCCCTGCAGATGACAGCTCGGAGGTGCAGAGTATTATTCTCATGTTACCATAGACCCTATGAAGCTGACCATACATGTGGAAATTGGACAGAGGGATTACACTTTCTGTTCCATTCATTTGAAGACTTAAAATATAGGTTTTGATCAACTGCAAGATAGGAATGAAAAATGAACCCAAACGAACGTAGCATGAAAAAACAGTTCCCTGTCAATTAAATTGCACATCCATATCCCTACCCTCAAGAGCTTACAATTAAGTCCTTATTACCAGTGATTGTGTATGGGAGTGATGTGAACCTAGTTTGCCAAAACTGTGACTGACCCTTCCCCGTCCCAGTCAGTTGGAGTTTGTGACGTATAGCAGCAGGGTGGGGAATGTCCCAACTGAAGCTTATAGGTAAGGGAGGGGGGGTGGTCAGTCACAGTTTTGCATTGTCATAGGCAAACTCTGGCAATCTGGGTTTTCACCAAGCTACTGCTTATCTCACATGCATACATACACACACCGAGGCCAATTCGGACAAGGGTCATTTAATCTACCAGCATGTCTTTGGAGTGTGGGAGAAAACCAGATTAGCCAGAGTAAACTAACACAAGCACAGGGAGAACATTCAAACTCCATGTTTTAATTTGATCTTCCATTACAACAGTTCTATTTTGTAGATTCTATTAATCCTTAAAGACTCTCCAAGGGAAGTACATGCAGTAGGGATTTCTGATGCCGAACTAAACCATAAATATCACTTTATTACAAAAAATAATCCATAATATGAAAAATCAACCTTGGCATTTGGAATTCCCAGTGCGTGTGCTTCCCTTGGGGACTCTTTAAGGATTAACAGAATTCTTTTTAGGAGTTGACATTCACAGGGAATTTATAGCGGGCTATTTATTTAATAATTGTTATTTTCACTGCCCTTTTTCTCCCCTGTTCTTAAAAAAAATCATATTATGTACAGCCGTGACATTGACAGAGTTATAATGTAAAGAGAGTTATAATGTATGAGCTGGAAAATTCTTGTGTACATTCGGTGGAGTTGTTTCAGCTATAGCTTATAGCTCCCGTTGTGTTTCATGCTTGTTATTTACAGTGCAGCTCCTAAGGGCCCCAATTCACTATAAATGCATTTATGACTAATAGGGATGCACTGATACCCATACTAGTATCGGTGCCGATGGCAAGTACTCGTACTCGCCCAAATGCTCTGATGCCTAGCCCGATACTTGAGCTTCCGGTATCAGAAGCGGGGCAGTGAGTCATTGGCCAATCAAGAAGCCCCCCCCGGCTTTCTGATTGGTTAGAAAGCCGGCTTCATGCTCCCTTGTCACCTGGTGATGAGAGAGTAAGAGTATGGAGTCGGCTTCTCGACCAATCAGGATGCCTGGTGATGTGGGAGCATGGAGATGGCTTCCCTGCTGATTACGAGTCTTTACACGCCGCCTTGCTTCCTTAATGGGACTTCCAGTATCGGCGAATACCGGAAAAATATATATTGGTACTCGATACCAAAACACGGGTATCGTTGCATCCCTAATAGTGTTTTAAGTAAAAAAAAAAAAAAAACACAGGTCCAGCAGCAAAAGGGTTCTGACTTTAGCCAAGACTTTTCTTAGGTTTTGGATAAAGTGTGCAAGTGTTAGAACCTGTATCAGCATTTCAATGCGTTCTCTCATTTTGGAGACATTTACCTACTGTATGTCTTTTCTGTTTGACAGGTGTAAAGCTCACCACACGTTACAAGCTATTTGTACAATCTCCTTTAGATCCGCCAACAACTGTGTAGTGCAAGATCCTGCCTGATTGGATACAGATTGATTGGATAGAATTGATAGGGCCCCAAATGACATAGTCTTGGTAAATCAAACGTTATTTGTACAAAGATGGCGACCATACATTGAATTTTGGCCAAGTTCTGCTGACTCAGCCAGCATTCATCCAGTGTGTGGCCCCATCTGGAACCCCTATGCCATTCCGTTCAGCAAAAGTCGATTTATTAAATCAGCTTATGTCGAGCAGCCAGTCTGAAAATTATTGGCAAAACAGTGACTGCAGCCAATCAACTACAGTTCTGTCAGCTGCCCACCCGCCACTGTGAGGAATGTCTACTGAAACATCTGTTCTCTGCATGTACATTACACAACCATTCTAATACAAAATCTTCTTTCTCTTTAGATACAAGATGTGGCAGTTGGTTACAGCGATAGTATTCGTACTCACGATTACAGGACAGTCACTGGAACGGAATATCAGAAGTATAGATGGCGGAGTTTTCTATACAGCAGATCCTGAAGCATCAATGAATATTGTAAGTATAATGTTTCATATAACCAGATAAGTGGCAGAATAAGAGACAGAAACCACTTGAGGGAGCAAACCTTTATACCCTTTTAAGAGCCCGTTTATACCATAGTCATCACTGTATTGCGCCACATGTGCGTTGCTGCATTCTGGTGCCATTCATTTTAAGGCCATGTTCACACCTGGGCAATGCATCACCGTGCAGCAATCGTGCACGATACTACTTACATTGCTGCGTGGTCACGGAGTCGCCCATCACCAATGATCGTGCTGGCAGTGACATTATTTTCTAATGGCACCCCAGTCACGGCGGGTGGATTTAGCGGTTTCCCACTGAAACAGCCACGCCTCGTGTATCATAAAAAAAAAAGTACATGAAATCAATGGGGCCGCGTAGCAATCGATGTCTGTAATTGTGCACGACTGCACGATCCTGGGACGCGCAACCAGAATTGCACCGCTCTGCACCGGCCCTAAATATCACCCCGATGCACCTATAGAACACACCTGCAATGCAGTGCTGCATACCACAACTCAAAGTGTGCGTTGCATCCAACCAAAATCAAATTTGTTTGCTGTTTTTTTTCAGGTGCGGTTCAGTGTGTTTGCATGCGTTTGTATGCATTTTTGATCCAGTGCATTCCAGACCAAAGAAAATGTGACCAGCAGCATTTCTTTCGTCTGGTCCAGAACGGACTGCACTTGTGTGAACAGAGTCCAGAAATACCATAGGGATACATTGGGATGCTTTTTTGGTCTGAGAATAAACTGTTCTGGTCTGGACATGATCTGGACATGGTGTGCACAAGCCCTAAAAAAAATAGAACAAAAAATAAATGGGAAAAAATAATAAAATCAAGGACTCCTTACCCCCTCACACATATGCATGCATGCACACATCTAGGACGCACATCGGAATGTAAATGACGATTGTCTAACAATATTAGGAATCACTGTACACGTACACGAGTGGGAGGAATAATTCTAGGGCTCTCATTTATTGTTAACTATGATTTGAGGAATTGTAAAGGTTTTTAAATTGTAGTCTATGGATAATTCAGGGAATTATATTTGTTCACCGTGTTGCTGGCGCACAGTTTTGATGCCTGACATGATTGGTATCTATTTACCTTACACAGTCTTGTCTTTTAAATAATAGTGTGTTTGTGTGCGCAGAAATAAATCTTAGCATATTGTTTACCGAAAATAAAGGTTTGATAAACAATAGTGCACATCTCTCTATTCTACAGGATCTCTGCTTTCAGAAAATATCGAACCATTTGTAGCTTTTAAGTAATGCGCATTATGCCGCGTGTGAAAATGATAACTTTTGCAGCGGCAGCGAATCGGTAAATAAAATGTAGCCTTTTATTTTGCTATACAAATGAATTTTCCCTTTCTTATGCACTTCAGTCACTGTGAGAATTGGTTTGTCCTTTGGTCTCACAGAGTCGGTGGGTATTTCGGGAGGGATGACATTGTCTTTTTAGGATCTTCTTTTTTTTTTTGAACTTCCTCTTTTGTTTTTTCTATTTGCGTAACAACTACTGCAAAATATTGTGAGAAAGCAAACACCACAACTAAGCCTTCAGATGATTTATTCCTTTCTTTTGCATCAGTGTTTGCAGCTCTCGAATAGCATAAATCCAAGCAACATTTTTAGATTGCTTGAATTTAAACAACAAACAGGTTTTTTTTACAAAAGGGTGAAGAGTTTGGAGAAGGAAGGAGAAGTGAACAATCTAGGACAACATAGCTGTTTTGGGAACATTCTCCAATTCAGCTCACTTTCCAGTTCAGCTATGTTGTCCTAGATTGTTCACTTCTCCTGCCTTCTCCAAACTCTTCACCCTTTTGTGAATAACCCTGAAAAAAAAATATTGAAATGATCATATGAAAGAATTCCAGTTTAAACGTTCAGCAAGCAAGTTCAAACCTCTACGTTTGCCCCTCCCATTGCATAGGGTTGATCTGGATAGCAATCTGCCACTTTAGCTGCTCGCTAATCTTTGACTTTTTCTTAGGCAGGACTGTTGGACTGTGCCAAGGTCACACATCCAACTATAGCAATCAGTTGACTTCTGATTTTATGCTTGGACCTTGCACCAATACAGACTACTGGTACCCTCTGAGCTTCTTTCAGAGTTTGGCTGGTCTGCAGGACGGACGTGCCTACCAGTCATCAACAAGAGAGGCTCATGAAAGTAGAATACCTTGTTTAAGATTAGGGATGAGCTTGGGTTTGGTCTTAGCTTGAGTTTGTCTGAACCCAGAAGGAAGCTGTCAGTGCTAGCCTAATCAGCTGCAGCCGGGGGAATTCCTCATCCCACAGCTGCTTGTAAACAAAGAGGCGGCATTCTGGCAATATCATTGATTTTATACGGCCATGTGGCAAAAGTAGGTACATGTTCGTAAACAAAATATGGTCATGTGGCAAGATAAGGTCCATGATGTCACCAGCATTCCGTCCCCTTGTTTAAGTGCAGCTGTGGACCAAGGAATACCCCGGTTGCTGCTGATTGGGCCGGCACTGACAGCTTCCTTCCAAGACTAAACCTGAGCTCATCCCTATTTAAGATCATTGGAAATCACTTGAGCCATGCTGCGTTTGTGCCCATCCCTGCCATTACATAATCAAGCTAAAATATGAAGCACAATAAGCAAAACTCTTATTTGTTCACAAAAAGCATCCTGATTTTCCATGCCCATATGTAACATTCTGAGGAACAGGATTAACCAGAAAAAGTTTTTGGGGTTTTTTTTGTTTTGTTTTAATTTAAAATTAAATTTACTTACGGATTGCGGATAATGTTTAGCAGACTTCATTAATAATGACCTCCTAGGTTATTTTTGGATTCTTAAATGTGGATTGAGTTAGGATAGAAATGAGAAAATGCATGGACTTACATCGGCAGACATACAATCAGCAGTGTCAGGATCAGGGTAGGAATCGCAAACCTGAATATTTTCTAATTGAATGTTGCACAATATATAATATTACACATATGAGCGTCTTGTGACCAGACAGAGAAATTATTCTTCTGCTGAGGAAGTGAAGATGCTTCTGGCAATGTCTGTACTCTAAAAGGCCAAATCAGGAAGGGGTTAGATTTCTTCCCAAATCCATAGGACACTGCAGATGGCTTTTTCTTTTTTTAATAGCTCTACTTCAAGATGGGCCTGACCCTGGTGACTGTGAATGGTGTGTGTGTGTATAATTATTATATATATAATATGTATGTATACATTTTTTTTTTGTATGGGTTATAGCTGAAGAAGCATAAAATATATGTGCATACATATCTGCACATTGTTCATGCATTCTTTGAGGCAGCTGTTGCCAGTACTAATAAGCAATTTGGCCCCAGTTTTGTGATAACACATACCTGCTTGAAAAGCAGTCTCAGTTCTCGTGCAGCAGAAGCCTTTCTGGGGCCCAGATTACATGCCGGTTCTGCTGGGGCAGTTATGTTGCTGGCAATAAAGCTGAACAGGGTTTGGTTACGTGCTATTGAACACACAGTCCAGGATTGTGATGGTGGCTTCTACTCAGGGAGCTGGGAAGCTGCGTCTTAGTTATGATCTCTTGGAACAGAGCCCTTCGAATGCATATTTTTTGTAGCTGAAAACAATACTAATATTCTTCATTAATTTATATACACATAAGCAATAAAGCTATCCAGAAGTCAAACTGCAGACACATTTAAACCTTGGAAGTGTTTGTTAATGAAGAGTGATATTAGTAGCCATGACTGTCTTCCTTAGAAGACATAAGGTCTAAACGAGGCTGGGTGCTGTACTTTGGACTTTCATCATAATGATGACGATTGTTCCAGCAGTCAGATGATCTGAGTAAGCCCTTTAATGTAAAGGTATTCAGTCTTTTTTAGTGTGGCCTCAACTTCTAGTGAACTGTTTTCTGGCACTCAAGCTGTCAGTTTGCCTTCGTTTCAACGCTTGTCATGGGGACTTTGAAATGTGTATTTCAGTAGAAAATTTTAAGAGTATTGCTTCTAACCTTAAAGATGCTCAAACCTTTTTGTTGGAGAATTTCAGGTCCCAACATGGGAGCTGTGCCCCAAACCACCTTCTTTTCCCTCATAAAGGATATAAATTACAGCTGCCAGTAGTTCATGTGTTTTTATATAGTGCTAATAAATTGTTCAGTATGTTACAGCAGGGCTGGACAAGTCCCAGGAGCCAAGTAAGCAAAGCTTCTTAAAAATGACAGCTGGTACCTAACTTTTGAGGTTGATTTCAAAACATGTCACCAGCACACTATTGGTTAAGTGAAATGAACAAAAGTCCATATTATAAACAACAATCCGAAACACTGTATTTGGATGGCATTGTTTTGTCATTGAATTGACTTTTGTTAATTTCACTTAAAGGAGAACTATGGGGTCAGGGCTTTTCCCCATAGTTCTCCTAAGGGTAACGGGAGGACACAAACTAGCGTCCTCCCGTCACCCAAAGCTCAGTATACCGCGAGCTACAGCACATGGTATACAGAGACGCCACAGATCCCGACTTTACTGTCTGGATACACCCAGCTGCGTGAGTGACAGCTGGCTCTGCCTATCTGGAGGTAGAGCCAGCTGTACCCGTCCCCTCCCCCGTCCGTTCCGCCAGTCAGTGCTGGAGGATCAGACAGGGGAGGGGGGGAATCCCTGTAGGGAGCCGTGAGTGACAGTCACGGCTCTCTGCAGGGACGGGATCGAGAAGTGAGCGAGCGACGGTATGTGTTCACTCACTTCCCGATCTATTGAGCTGACGTGTGACAGTTTCATTGTCACAGGTCGGCTAGAACTATGAGGCTGAGTGATTTTCACTCACCTCATAGTTCTCCTTTAACCAGTGGTGTGCTGGTGACATCTTTTGAAATCCTTTTATATTTCACGGTGCCGTCCATGGTCACTGCGAGCACCCACCTGGACTTAGGTTACCATCATGATCCGGAAGGAGTGCAGCAAGATACATCTCTATATAACTTTTGAGGTTTTCGCTAGTCGTCAATATAGCTCGCCCCTAAGAAAAATCCCACTGGCTCCTGAATTCCATAATAAGTGTCCTTTCCTTTGTTGCAGTACATGGAACTATTCACATCAATTCTTTGCTGTGAAAGAGCTTCCTGTCTAAAGGCCTTACAGACATTCACACTCACACTTTAGAACCAATTTGGTTAATCACTCATATTTTGAGCTGTAATAGGAACTAAAGCAAACGCAAGAAAAACAAACTCCAAAACACGATCCAAAGCAGGTTTTCCATGCCTTGTACTGATGATGGACAGAAGGCCCAAAACAGCTGCATATGAGGCTCTGTGAATTTTGACTTCATGTTAGCTTCATGTTTTAAACCAATCAACTCTGGATGCAGAATTGTCCACGGGGCCATAAAGGATTGATTTGCACGGCCTATTGTCCAAATATGAGGCATGTTTGGAAGTGATAACATGTAAATGCCTTTTGCTTTGTGAAGCCAAGGCCGTGGAGTGCTTTAGGTCATTGGTTCTCAGCCAGTAGTACATGGCAGCTTAACAAGCATGAGTAGTCCCTGAGGCTAAATTCATTATAACAAGGCCCTTGAAATAAAGCGACTCATGCTAAGGAGTACTTGACAAGCTCTACTTTTTTATAAGCAGGTTTATAATTTCACAAACCTGAAAAACATTGGTCTGGAGAGACAGACTAAATATGACATCAATTAGTCAAGAGTTGTGCACGGTTCTTAAAGATCATTTTTCTCATACTTTTTAGACTGAGCTGATCCGATACCAGGGATACCCCAGTGAAGAATATGAGGTGGTCACTGAAGATGGTTATATTCTGAGCATCAACCGAATACCACATGGGGTCAAATATCCATCTACAGGTATGTATTGTGTGCTTTGCCCTGTAATATTTTACTTTATATATTGAATGTGCAAATAATTTAACCCCTTCATGACTGAGCTAGTTTTTAGTTTCTGTTCCTAAATGACTGACACACTTTTTACATTTTTGCTGTGTGATTCTTCCACAGCAGCAAGTTTTGATTATTATTATTATTTTTAGAATGTTTTTAATAAGTTGTGTCAGGATGGACAAATAAAGAGCAAGGCAAGGACTGGAATATTTACCCATTCTGTGCCAGGCTCCCCCCCAGTGTTGGTCACATGACAAAAAGCCTAGGCATCTGTTCTTGTGATCTCTGCTAAAGGTATTAGCTAGTCTATACTATTTCCTATCTCCAAATGAGGTCACATGGCAAAATGTCAAGGCTTTTGGACATGTAACTGGCACTGGGGAAAGTTTGGCGCAGCATTTTGTTCAGGAAAGAAAACTATTTCAGCTTTTCTGATTGCTATTCTAGTTAAACAAAGATCAATCATATTAAAGTAAACCTTTCCTAAAAGAAATATGATGGCTGCCATTGCTGACAGCCTTCTGACAATCCTAGTTACTTAGCTCTAATGCTGCCCTTTTGGCTTTAGTACTTTGAGTCGCTGACCAAGAACTACTATGCTGATCAGGAAGGTCAGACCTCCTGATCCATATACAGTACTTGTTGTGGGTCAGTGACCAGGGTATTGAAGACAGAAGGTCAGAATAACAGCCAAGCAACTAGCAATTGCACAATGAAAAGTCATCAAGCGCCATGTGTAATATCTAAATTGACTTTAAGCTTCCTGAAATAAGCTAACTTGTTATTCTCTGCTTCCAATGATGATAATAACCATACAAAGGCTAAAAGAAGTAATTGTCTTATTTATTTATACAGAAATATAAATAAACATTCTAACACCATGTTTCTCTCAGGAGAGGTTCTCTATAATATAGCTATAAGATTTGTGTATGGATTCCCTTTAAAGGAGAACTATGAGGTGATTTATTTTCACTCATCCTCATAGTTCTAGCCAACCTGTGACAGGTCAGTTCAGTAGATCGGGAAGTGAGCGGACGCATACCGGCGCTCGCTCACTTCTCGATCCTGTCACTGCAGAGAGCTGTGACAGGGGAGGGACTGGATTCCCCCCCCTCCCCTGTCTGATCCTCCAGCGCTGACCTGCGGAACAGAGGGGGGAGGGGGCGGGTACAGCTGGCTCTGCCTCTAGATAGGCAGAGCCAGCTGTCACTCATGCAGCTGGGTGGATCCAGACATAATTGATCTGTCAGTACAGAAATATGGAAGCTGCCCTTGCAGGAGCAGATTCCAGGGCTAGCCATCTTATTGCTATTTCACTACTACTGGATTCACAGGCTCAGACCCTGCATGTGCATATCAGATGCCAGGATGATGTCCTGGGGCATGCACCTTTAAAACAAAGCAAGCAGCAATAGCACTACCTATATTTCTCTCCTGACCTGTTCCTTTTAATGCATTGGCATAGTGCTTTACAAGGTCCTCTAACCATGTTCTTTTTACAGGTCACATACACACAGGCGCAATATTTAATGTGTCTGCAGTGTAATTTACAGAATCTACTTGTGTCAATATCCTCTAAACATGAGCTGTTATTGAGACTTTAGAACAGGATAAGTGCAATATGTGCGCATATCATTTAACACAAATCCCTTGGCCACATTTAGTCCTGTGAATTTGGAGGTTAATAGCATATGTCACATTAGGAACATGTTAAAGGAAGATAGTGTTGAATCATAGACACAGGTATATGTGGTTATACTATACCTGTGGGCCCTTGAGATATAGAGATTATCAATATCTTCACTGTGGCTTGTATATTCATACAGTAATCTCCAATGAGCCATGTGCTAACATTACCATATTACTGGAGCTTCCATGCCATTTTCCTGAGGGTCATGTTAAATTATTTAGACATGCAAATCCATCCTCCATGTTTATGCAGTCCATTTGGAACCAAAGCTCACAGCTTTGTAATTTAGGCACAGCCAGAGTTTATGCCATCACTTCCCAATTTTCCAAGGCCTTACTGGACACTCAATTATTATAAAACCAAAAACGAATAATTTACACTTAAAAAGACATCCCGTTGCAAATTAGAAACGGGTACATTTCGATAAGCTTTAAAACAAATCACACATGAGCTTTGAAAGTAAAGCTGATGAGCATATTTTGTCTATTTCATGTATAATAATACATTTGATGAAGCAAAAGGAAATAATATACAGACATTTGGTCTTAATAAAGTCTGTACTTTAAAGCTGGCGGCATACTTTTTTATTAAGCCTCTTAAATCATTATTAAAAATACCTAAAATTGCCTGCTGAATTCTCAAGTGGACTGGCTGGCTCGGGTGAATCATTTTATTAATTAACTAGTAAAATAAATGGGTTGCCTAAATCGACTTAAAGAAACCCTGTCAGGAGCCTGGGTGATTCAAACAGAGCGTATGATGCAAATAGAAGAGAAGTTATCTTCAAGGAAAGCTGTATGGTAACAGGCTATAGATACAGAGACATAGGAAGCTAAACTTTGTCTTTCCTGTACAAGCCAAGCTTGAAGTCACCCCTCCTTACTGTGAACCTACCTTATAATTTTAAATAGCCTTACTGACCAATAGGAAGGAAAACAGTCAAAGTTGAAATTTTAAGATTTCTGTGTAACTTTAGCTGCCTGAATCTCTGATTGTGTTGAACTGAGATCTTCGCAGAAGGAAACTATTTTTTTGTGCATTTTTTTTAAATCACATTCTCAGTTTAAATGACTCTAATTTGTAACTGTTTGACTTTAATTAGGGACACAATCAAATAAGTGACATGCTTGCCAGAAGATATTGGTTTGCAAAATTAGCAATTCATTAAATGATCATAAATTGTATGCAGTATTGTTTTTTACATTTAAAGGAGCAGTCCCCGCAAATACTATCCTATTATAACATCAGCATTGTAATAGGAATACAAACTAGAGTTGTTTTTGATAATACAATCAAAGCTTACTTGAAAAAATCCTTTTTATGTAGTGAGTGCTGCCTTCAGTCTGCCCATCACTTTCATCAACTTCTTGGTTTTCCAGTGTGCTTTGTGTCTCTTTCCCAGTTGCTTAATGTGATGAAATCTTGATTTCTCAAGACTATACAGCCCATAATACATTGCTTCAGAAGGCAATGATAATGTTGTGTCGTCAGAGTTGTAGCTCAGATGGCAAGCTTAGTTAGAGAGTTTCTTAGTGAGAGAAATTGTCAGTGCATTGAGGAAGTACATCCTTTGGGCATCTTCATATAGTAAGTTTACAAGCTTCTAGACTGATATGGTTATTAGGAGTGAGATAGAACTTATGGAAATTCTATATATAAATACATGTTTATTTTTAGTTTTTGACCATTTAAACCTTTTTTGGGGTATATAACATTAGTTATGGCAATTTAGCAGGATGCAAACAGCCAAAATGTACCTAAAAAGGCACAAAATGCTAAGAATTCGGCTAAGGCAGCTTCTGCTCTAAAAAGAAAAAAGCCAATACAATAGGCCCAAATGGCAGACAATGCTTTGTGCCTTCCCAAATAGTTGATGCAGTTGAAGACCATCTTACTGTTTTAGAATTGTTTTTTTTTTTTTTTTTACTGGCTAAGCATCGTGGTCTTTATCTTCCCTGAATATTTTAAGTATGAAGATGCAAATCCAGCTTTGTAATTTATCAGAAATAAACCTTGCAGGCTTGTTTACGTTCCGCTGTGTGAGACCAGAATGAGCCCATATGTTAGATTTCCAGACAGAACTGTGAACACATCTGCACTTCTTCTTATGTGAGGAAAATTCTTTTCCCTTTCATGCTTTTTAGGCCGTGTTAGGAAACATCTGTCCCTTTATAGTGATGCTTTGGATCATTTTCCTAAACACAGTAGCTTGTTCTAATAAGTGTCTATGAAATGTATTTTTTTATGCGCAGGAATGATCCTTTCCATTTGAAATGACACCATTTTATGATTGCGTATGTCCTGCTCTTTAAGTTAATTAAGTGTGAAATGTTCTGCAGTGATCCAGTTAGGTGACACTGGCCTCACACAGATGCCTAGGCAAGCTGCAGTGACACCACACATTCATCTGTTCACTTCTTCAACTCATTTGGCTCAGTGTTTGTGGTGCTTCAAAGCATCTTTCAGAAGAACGCTGAAGTGTAAAATAAGGGTTCTTGGTGGCCAGGACAATATGTCTATGACTGTTCGTACTCTTGGAAATATTACAGAGTGTGGAAGTGCGTAGTTTTATTTGGCAATGCACAAGACTAAAGTTGGATAAACACCTCTGTTAGAAATGACAAAACATGATATTATTTGAAGGGGTGAAAAGAAGGTGCCAAAGTCTACTTCATGGAAATTTGTAGATCAGTTAATCTCCCATTTTTTTCTTCTTTGGATGTAAAGGGCTTTCCAAGTATGAAGCAATCTAGGGCATTCAAAACATTAAAGTTCTTCTTTTTTTTTTTGCTGGGATTGTGTAGTCACATTAAAGTCTGTAATTTTGGCTTTTATAAGGAGTATAGAAATGGGAACAGACTTGTTCAATTTTTTTTTTTATAGTGCAGAGTCTTTGAAGGGTTAGTCCACCCAGGAAACATATCTGAAGTTTGGGTAGATGTCAGCATGAATGAATTGGCATTGGCTTTAAGCATCATTTGAAGGCTCTGGAAGTGATATCTCTGATAACTGTGTTCCACACTTTGCCCTCCTTCCACACCCATGCTCACACACACTCTCTCTGCTGAATCTTTACTTTGTTTTTATATTAATAGTAAACGGGCATTGGGGCAATCGTAAGACTCCTCTTCCAGCAGTATAGCAGACTCCATTGTTGGGGAGGCAGAGATGGGGAGTTTGAGGGAGAAATCACTGAGTTCTGAGAGATAAAAGGAACCTGCATGGTTCAACCAGCAGTGTTTGTGATTTGGAAGATGAGTATGGTTGAGGTGTATCAACCTGAGTGTGAAATCATATTCAAACTTCATGAATAGGTCAAAATGTGGGATCAATGTGGACTCTTCTCTGGTGTTTTTGAAGGTTGTGCTTGTGCAGTTTGGCTACATTTTGTAGTGAGATTGTTCGGAGAGCCTGACCAGGTACTAAAACAGGGTGGTGAGATTGCCCTTTGCCTTTCTAGATAATAAACATTAGACAAACGTTGTAAATTTCTTGAAATTGTTCCAGGCTTGGGTAATTCTTGGGTTGTATATAGAGCATGAGTCACCACAGCAGATCATTTTAAGGCACCTTCCAATAGACAGCCATCACTTTGGTTGTAATTTTCACACATTAGCCCAGTGTTCCTGAATATGGCAACAGTTGAAGAACCGATGCAGCAACGTTTACAGGTAGTTTCAAATCCGATAAGGGTTTATTCAAAACACACCTGTGGAGAATTGACACAGATAGTGGCTCATAGATCAATTCCACCCTTCATTTTAGCTCGCACAACTTATAAAGGTTTACACATCAAGACAAAGATTAAGCTTTACATCACTGGTTAGTTTAACAAAATTCCAAAATACACCCAATCCTGAATCAGCATTATTTACAGTAATATTAAACCTTTTATTTATTTTATTATTTTGAGGGTCAGACTTGATTGAACTGACTTTTGTTTTCTTCTTTAAATGTTTTAGTTTTCTATTGGGCATCCATGGACAAGCAAGCCAAGCCTGTGCCAACCCCCCGCAACAGTATTTCTCACGAAGGAGTAACACGCATACTTTTAAATGTGCATTAGATGTTTTAAAATGTCTACCTGTATTTAATAGCATGTATGTTTCTCTTTAATATAATATACATAATGAATATGATCATATAGCGGAATATGTTTAATCTGTCATTTTAGTTGTCATATTTGCTAAGCAGCTTGCTTATGAGATACATTTCATAATATTTTTCATTAAGTATATCAACCTGATTAACAAAATAAAGGTATGACAAAGTGATCCAGCGGGGATCATCAATTTTCCCTATACATTCCCTCATCAGCGCCATGATGGGGTTATTAGTCTTGCATGTATGTGTATAAAGGTTGTAGTTCAGTTTTTTGTAGCAGCTAAATACTGTTTAATGTATGAGGATTCTTTTAGACTCCACACTGTTTTTCATTCCACCGTAAATTGTTTAGTCCACCACTACTTAGAGGCTGTGTGGAGAAGAATGTTACATGCATTGGGGCTGAGTAAAGCTGAAACAATGAGAATACAAGCAGATGTGGAGCTATTACACATGACACCAAGTCAGATTGTATCTTCCATTTTTAGGGGAAATCAGGCCAGAAAAATGTGAATGAACCTTCAGTTTCTACTCAGTGATGTGGCTGCAGGTCACAGAGAAGAAACATGACCCTCTATCTTGTTGTTTTGCATGCCAAAATGTACAGAAACCTTCCCTCGGAGTCTTTTAAAATCTTACAGCTGAAATAGTAATAAAGTGTTTCATAGCAATTAAGAGCCAAGTCAGCTGTTTGATTTTCGTAGAGCAGAAGGTTTAAACTTTAGGTGATACCATTTCTTGGCTAATAAGGTTATTAAAAAAAAATAGCAAATAAAATTGCTACACAAGCCGTTTTGTAATTTTTTGTCATAAAATTGACCTTGCCATTTAAATCTGAAGCCGTTGTTGTTTACCGAAACTGATGTAAAAATTTAGTGCAATATGGCATCGGTTGTTGTACGGAATTCCCCAGCAAGACATTTCTTGCTTGCGTGCAAGCACTACTTTTGCAGGACACACTGGACCGGAATGCAGGCATTAATGTGCCTGCATTCCGGGTGCGGGCGATCGCACTGTGGGCGGGGTGCATGGCTGCGGTGCCATTGACTTCAATTCAACCCCACGCCCCCTCCTGAACACAGGGAGTCGGCCGGCTTGCATTCCAGTGCGTTCTGTCTTCCCGCGGTGCTCGTGTGGCCGACGTTGCACACAGGGAGAGGTGTCCCGCCCCTTTCTGTCTGTGGCTTCTGACACATGCAGGCAAACCACCTGCCTCCAGGATTTTTGTAATCATTTTTTACTATTTGGGGAAATATTAGGGGTCTAATTTTTTTTTTTTTAAATACACACAAAGTCCTCAATCACTTTTTCTGCAGCCTCTGTTCTAAATGAATGGAAAGCACAGAGGCTTCCCATTCATTCAGAACAAATTTACTATCAAGCAGTTTCTGAATGGGGAAGAGACTCTGTACAGATTGCTACTCCCCATTGAGAAACTCCTGAATGAACAGGAAGTGATGTAAATCACTTCCTGTCCATTCATAACTGGGGACACATAGTAATATGTGTCCCCAGTTATTTACAAACACTGGAGTGATCAGCTGATCGCCCCAGTGTTTGTCCTGCACAGAGGAACAGTACATATCACTGATATGTACCGATCCATCGCCGCTCGGCCACGCACACAGGGGGGCTCACCCTGCAACTTCTCCTGGATCCCCGCTGCTCTCCCGGGCAGAGGCAGCAGGGGATCCGAGGAGAAGGAAGCACTTCAGCCGCGGGGGGAGCGTTGGAGGGAGCCGCTGTCACAGCAGCATGGTCGAGCGGTGAGGAGAGAGCCGCCGGCTGTCATATCCTGGCCGAGCGTCTCTCTCTCACACTTCTCAATGCTCAGCCTTACTTTTGTGATAGCGGCTCCCTCCTCAGCCCACCCCCAGCCGCCAGCTGCAGCGCTTCCTTCATTTCTCCTCGGATTCCCGCTGCATACACATGGGGGAGAACAGCGGGGATCCAGAGGAGAAGCCTCACGGCGGGAGCACAGGACATCGCGATCTACCAGTGATCGCTACGCGATTGACTGGTAAATCGCGATCGACTTAATGGGCACTTTTGTAAAAGGAGGCAGAAACTGCAGCTTTCCTCATTAGAACACTGAAGGTACACCATGTGATTATAATTAAACAGACCCCTCCCATTCAGGAATCAATCAATAAAACAGCTTTTTCTTCAGGACAGAAAAAGGTAGGAATGTGCAACAACATTTGCTAAAATAAATGTACACCCATCACCCAGAGGGGGTTGCTTTTTCATTTACACTTTAAAGATGCAAGCTTTTGGGATGCTTTAGATCCCTTCTTTAGGAGACTTTTATAAAGCTTGAAGAAGGGATCTAAGGCATCCTGATAGCTTGCATTTTTAATAACCTTTATTGGCTAACTTAGGTTATAATTTAAACTTCAAACTTTCTGTATTGATTGAAGGACTCTACTATAGGGATGTTCCGATACCAGTGCCGATACTTGGCATTTTCATGCGAACTACCAGGGTGGCAGCTGTGACTGGGCCCAGGTGCTCCGCCACTGTCCTGAAATCATTAGTCTGTACATGACACTAAACAAAAAGGTATCAGTAATTGGTAAATGCCAGGAGCCCCGTAGCCAATGCTCCTTAAACATGACAGCTGCCTCCTAACTTTTGAGTTTTCCCTGATCTTGTAGCTGGAAAATTATCAGTACTGGTACCAAGTACAGTACTTTGTATCTGAATATCCCTAACTAATAGTACAGCAAAATACTATTCCCAGCAACTCAGAACTAGGGTTGCAACAACGAATTGATTAAATCGATTATAATCGATTAATGAGAATTGTTGGCAACGATTCTCATAATCAATCTAGTTGCATTTCGATTAGTTGCCGCCTCTCTCCTCCCCACTGCTGTTGGCTGCAGCTGTCTGTGTCCCTTTCAATCCCTGCTGCCCCGGTCCTTCGCTGCCTCCTCTGCCCTGGCCCGTGCTTCCTCAGTTCCAGTGCAGTGCGATTTCAAAAAATGTGCATACTTTGTCTGTAACGCTTCATTTGTGTATTTTATTTTAAATAAATTACGGTATTCATTTTGTAAAAATGTTATCCGATTAATCAAAATTAATAATCGGCTAACTTATCTACTATGAAAAGATTTGTTAGCTGCAGCCCTATTCAGAACATAGGATGAGCGCCTCCTGGTGAATAATCTGCTGCATGTAGCGCTACACTTGAAAATTTATTTTGGTGTTTCACTGAGAAAAGTGTATACACAGAATGTATTTATGAAAGTCTAGTACTGCATGCTTATTACCTGTCCTATGTTATATGCCTATGATTTTACCATTTAAACTACATCTCTCATTCTAGATGGAAGACCGGTGGTGTTCTTACAGCATGGATTGCTCGCAGACGGCAGTAACTGGGTCACCAATCTGGCAAATAATAGTTTGGGATTTATCCTGGCTGATGCAGGTTATGACGTGTGGATGGGGAATAGCCGGGGGAACACATGGTCCCGGAAACACAAGACCTTGTCACCTGATGAGAAAGAGTTTTGGGCTTTTAGGTAAGACAGGTTATTTATTGCGAGCATGTTACAATTCAATGACTGCGCTGTTCCCATCTGATTTAATAATCATTTTGTTTAGAGTCCCAAATGCCCTGTTATTTGGATGGGATTTGGGTATTGCAGAAGGTATACCTGGGGAATATATTCTGACATTTCCTAACTTTGTTATGTTTGGTGACAGTTTAGTGCATTGTCCATTAATTGCTTTGGCATGTACAGATTTATCTGCAGTAGCCCCGGAAATTAATAACTTCATGGTTCAGTTAAAAAATAGCAGAATAGTTATAAGTAGATGTAAACATAGTGGGGACCCCATTTGCATGCCCACTGTTGCTGCCACTGCAGGTTGTATCAGTGTTGCCCTACCTCAGTGCTACACTGTCAGCCTTTATTATGTAGTGGTGATCGGAACACACAACATTTGGAAGGATGTTTGGTATCGGACTGTTAGGCTGGCTGTATGCAGAAGAATAAGTCAAACTATGCTGCTATATTACTTGTGCCTAGCAAGCCGTTTCTCTCCACTGCAGGATGGTAAATAGAGTGCTCAAGGCTAATGGGGGGAGGGGGGCTTGATTTTACACATGGAGATTTTTTTAAGCTGTTGGGAAGCCTTATTCTTCCCTAATTCCCAATCCTTCCCTAATTCCCAATCCTTCATTAAAAGTGGAGGGTTATGTGTACCGTTATGTGTACCGCTGTGGGCATTAGCAGCAGTTCATGTCCAAACTGGGCTCTAGTTTCATTGGTGGGAGGACAAGGAGACCTCTTCCAACTCATTAGTATAATGCAGTTATCTGTTCGTCTGTGGTTATCTGTTTCTCAGTGGTACATAAAGTAGGGAAAAGTATTAAAGGAAAACTCAAAAAAGATATATATACCTGACCAATACTATTGTGGTGGGGGGGGATGAGATTGACCTTGGGTTTGATGCAAGGTCCTTCATCAGGTCACGTCAAAGCATCTGAACTGCCAGTGCTGCCACATTGCAGGTACCTCATGGTGCCTTCAAATTAAATAGTTTAGCAATAAAGGCCAAACCCAGACGCAAGGAAAACAAACTACATTTGCAGGACCCTCCCACACTTTAAAGAGACACTAAACTCAGAAATGAAACCTTAAAAATGCATTCAAGTACCCTAACTATTAACAATACTGTACCTTTTATGTGCATTACTCAGCTGTAGATACTCAGATCATCTCTGAATTGGTGCTGACACTGTCCTTCCTTCTGGAGGGTGGTTACTTTTGTTCTCCATGGTCCCTGTGTGTGCTGTATAGTTGCCACCATTCCAAGCTCACTCCTGTGATGGACTACAATCGCAATACAAATCAGTAGACTAAACATGAGATTGTATTCCAGCATGGAAGCGAGCTTTACAACACATACAGGAACCACGGGGAACAAAAGTAGCCACCCTCCAGAAGGAAGGACATTGTCAGCACCAATTCAGAGATGATTTGAGGATCTACAGCCGAGTGATACATAATTAAGATACATTTTTGTTAATAGTTAAGCTACTTGAATGCATTTTTAAGGTTTAATTGCTAGGTTTAGTGTCACTTTAGGGGTTAAATGCTGAAGTGTTGGAGTAGAGGCTTCAGGGGTAATACTTACCTTTCTCTTTGCTCAGACAGGCCCACTCCATCTGTGTGACTGGTCCTGCAAAGCCTCCTCTTTAAGGCACACCCGGTCACTGTTGCACCTCTGCCCCTCCACAAACAATGCAGGGCTAATAGCCCTTAGACTTAATAAGCCTTTAATCGATTCAGTGCAGGGCATACCCCTCCCGCCCGCACTGCAAGAGGTTTTATTTTCTTAATCCTGGAGTTGGTCTTTAGGTGACTAGATGTTCTGAACCCTAGGTGCATTGTGGTAAGATAAAACCATCCTTTTTAGTCTATTATCTCTACACATCCCAATGATTGAGAAAGGTTCTTTCACAGACTAACGTCATCAATAGATGGTCTTGAATTTAGAGTATGGCATTTATGCGGCAGTACCACTGCAAGAAACGTAGAGATGACGCATTATTTATTATTATGTCAGTGGCTGACTGTTTCAGTCAGCCACTGACATAATAATAAATAATGCGTCATCTCTACGTTTCTTGCAGTGGTACTGCCGCATAAATGCCATACTCTAAATTCAAGACTATCTATTGATGACGTTAGTCTGTGAAAGAAGTCTTGTGCGTTATTGGTGATTCCGGGAAAGTGCATGGATTGTTTGCTTCTTCCAAACACTTTACAGGTGTAGAGGATGTGAGCTTGAGTAGCCACGACATCTGGCGAGCACAGTTCTATCCATTTGTTGTTTGCTACCGCTACGCGATAAATCGGGCTGGCAATGTTCCTTTTGCTCTTTGTTACTATGGGAAGTGTTTCGAATGACAGCAGTGGTGTGCGTGTGGACGTGACGAAACCAATAAAGCACTATTTGTATCTAAACAGAATTTTATTTTTACGTATGAAAAGTACAATGGAGGTTTGACACCGAAAAGAAAAGCTAAAACTTTATCCAATCTTTTTTTTGGTTTGGATAATTTGGGGAAAGTCATAATTAGGCTCAGGTTTTCTTTTTGTGTGTGTGACCTCATTGAGGAGATTTTCTCACACTTCCTGTCCCTGTGATGTCCATATAAGAAATGTGGGTCACTGTTGTCATTAAAATAGGAAGGCACAGATAGCTGTGTAACGTGTGAACATGTACCCCTTTTTCATTTTATTAAATTGCCTTTGACCCCACTGATGATATTTTCCTGTCCCTGTGATGCCCGTACAAGAAAAGTGGTGGGTGCGGTAGTCACCAAATCAGGATAGCAGTATAATATTGTCAGAACATGTACTCCTAAAATGTGTTGTTGTCTGTGTTCTCATTGGAGACATTTTTCATCACTTCCTGTGCTTATAGGAAGTGAGGGTAACTACCCGTGATGGGGACACAGATGTTCTAATCCTTCCTCGATCTATCCAAATCGAAATAAGAAGCATTGCTTTACATATGTTGTACATTTAAAAAAAATATTTAATATGTAAATATTTTTCAACATCTGATGGAATATATTCTAGTTTTGTTTTCTCTTTATGTCATGTGTTTCTTTTTGTGGTTTATAATAAAGTTTCTTGTATTTTCCTTACAGCTATGATGAAATGGCCAAATTAGATCTCCCTGCTGTTATCAACTTTATTTTGCAGAAAACAGGACAGGAACAGATATACTATATCGGCCACTCTCAGGGCACCACGATAGGTAAGCAAACTTATTTTCTTCCACAGTTTGGAAGTGTAAACGAACACACATTTACAATGAGCACCTTCCCTCAGGCAGCTCTGGCCACTTGTAAATAGAACAGAAAGAGCAGAGCGCCGCCTGCATGTGTAAAACTCTTGTAATAAATGAATAAAAATAGGTATATGTACTGACAAAGGTAGAGATCTGAACACCTTATTTAGCCACACTCAAGTCACAAGGAGAAATCCGCCCTGACTCCATAAAACAGCAGCCTGCGGTCACATCAGACACACCACAGGCTGCTGGAAGCCTGGTTTATGTGTTTCAGGGGCTCGCCCCCTTCCACAGAACCATATGGTCCTTTTGACTGACATTTAATAAAATAGTTTTATACATGGAGGCGGCACTCTGCTCTTTGTATTCTATTTACACTGTATTTGCTGTGGGAATCCCTGATCTCTTTGATGAGCAGCCCCTGAGTGATTGCTGATTGGGTTACTGTTGGAGGATCGTTTGAGGCTACCATTTAGCGCTGAGATAGACGCTTTTTAACACTAGTTTTGTCCTGAAAAGTAATCCGCTGTGGAGGGTGGCTGAGCAGCAATATTACAGGCTATACTGCCGCCTCCTGAATGTATGTTTTTTTTTTAAATCCTAAGTGTGAAATTACATTACAAAAACCACATCACAACCGCATGCCAAGCATTTAGCATTCAGTCGCAGCATGGTCCTGGCATGGTCCCTTTGACTTGTGAGGCCGTCAAACTAAACATGGCGAGTTACAAATGTTCACACCGTGAAACAAAGCATTGCAACAATGTGTACGGTCCCTAGTGGCCACCTTGGGACATTTTAGGTGGGTGGGCAGGGGACAGTAACCTGCCTGTTTTACCGCCCCCCTGGCTGCTCTTGTGAACTTAATTTGTTATTTTGCTGCAACCGAATGCTAAACGCTTGGCAAGCAGTTGCGATGTGGTTTTTTTAATGTGTTTTAAAATTAGGATTATAAAAACCCATACATGCTGGAGGCGGCAGTATATTGCTGTTCATCCGCCCTCCACCGCAGATTACTTTTCAGAAAGACAGCAGAGGCCTTAGACCAGGGGTAATCAAACTCCGGCCCTTCAGCTGTGGTGGAACTACAAATCCCACGAGGCATTGCAAGATTCTCACCGCTACAGACATGACTCCCGGAGAGGGATGCCTCATGGGATTAGTAGTTTCACCACAGCTGGAGGGCCAGAGTTTGGCTACCCCTGCCTTACCTGCCTTAGAGCATGCAGGATACACTGGCTCATCAACCAAACCTACTACCTGACATGTTCCTGCTGTCCAGCATGTCCCACCCCACCTAAAATTTGTATGTACAAAAATATATGTAATTCATAGGAGAGAATGTTTGTTTTCTGTGGCCTTTTTGTGGATTTTTAACGGTTTCTTTTAATTCTTAAAATGTTTGAATATGAAAGTGAAAATGTTCATTACCTAAAATGATCTTATCATTTATACAACAACTATTTACTGAACGAAGATCTTCCAGCACATCACATTTGTCTATATGTGTACAGTGTGACAAAGGTAGAGTAACAAATAATGCATAGGTTATAACATTTCGCCATCATCACATCTCATGGCTTTACTTTTTATTTTTAATCACCTTTAGCGTTTATTGCATTTTCAAGCATGCCTGAGCTCGCCAAGAAAATCAAAATGTTCTTCGGTCTTGCCCCTGTGGCTACCATCAAATTCTCCAACAGTCCACTCGCAAAACTTGGTATTTTCCCAGAGTTTGCTATCAAGGTATGGTTATTTGTTATGTAGTTATTGTCATTCTAAATGTAAGAACAAAAATTTCATATATTTCCATAACAAGTGTTTGGATGAGTTTTTTTCTTTTTTTTTTTTTAGGCTTTTCTGTCTTTTATTTATACCGAGTGATCCTGCCAGTAACACACTTCCTGTCCTACATTGACAGCACTTACTCACTGTACTATATCTATGGAGGAGTAGAGTTGTCCCCCTTGGTCAGGAAGTAGGTTATGACAACAGAACACCTTTCCCTCTCCTTGTATACATAACATAGGGGAGGAGGTTTTCTGTAGTTCACAGAAGAGAACTGGGAAGGCTAATGACATTGAGATTTTTCGGTTTAGCCCACGGGAAGCAACATGGATACTGCATGTTTTGCAGGATTAACTGGTAGTTTTCTGTACTTGTAGAAAATGTCTCATCCTGAAAAAGAATCTAGTGTAGCCCCCACATCTAAGGACCGATGAGCTGCAATATATTATATTTGTTCTTGGGTTTAGATACACTTTAATTGTAGAAAATGCACTTATGCTGAGGGGATTAAAATATTACGTTCCTTGCTAACAGTTGGAAAAAAAAATGTTTCCAGATCTAGGAAGCAACAACGTGCTCTTGTGTTAACATTCCAGAAAATGTGTCTGAATTGCCACTTACTATCAGCGATGGCTCTCTACACACAGAAGTGTGGCTGTTGTGTGGCATTTGTTAGTGTGCTTGTGAATGGCTGCTTGCAGGGTGCACCTTCTATACAGAGAAGTGAAGATCATTACAAGGACCCCTTTTCAGTACAGATAAAAGTGCACTCATCTTTTTGTTCATAGTTTTTTTTATTTGAACTGGCTTTTAAGCTTGCAGCATTTCTTTCAATGTGATTGAGCAATCTCCTTAAAGCACCTTTATAACTTAAAGGAGAACTATGGGGTAATTGTTTTTCCCCAAAGCTCTCTTTAGGGTCACGGGAGGACATATACTAACCTCCACCCGTGACCCAAAGCTCAGTATATAGAGGGCTATTGGCCGCGATATACTGACCGCGCCGCAGCCGGGACGGAACTCAACAACGAGATCCACCCAGCTGCGTGAGTGACAGCTGGTTCTGCCTATCTAGAGGCAAAGCCAGCTGTGCCCGCCCCCTCCCCTGTTGGTTCCTCCACTCGGCGCTGGAGGATCGGAGAGGGGAGGGGGGAATCCCCGCGGGGAGCGGTGACTGATAGTCACCGCTCCCTGCAGGGGGACGATTGTGAAGTGAGCAGATCGGTGCATGTTTCTGTTCACTTTCCGATTCGATAGAACCGACCTGTGACAGCTTATCTGTCACAGATCGGCTCTAACTATGAGGATGAGTGAAAAACTCACCTCATAGTTCTCCTTTAACCTTAAATCTTAAGACAAGTTTAGTTGTTTATTTATTTTTTGATAATGTATTTTATGTTTTCTTTCAATGTTTAGGACCTGTTTGGGATGAGGGAATTTTTACCACAGTCGGAATTTATTAAGTGGCTTGCCACTCACTTTTGTACCCATGAAGTGGTGGAACAGATATGTGGGAATATTTTCTTTATTCTGTGTGGATTTAATGAGAAGAACCTCAACATGGTAAGCAAGACTTCAAATAATTAATAATTTGTAAGTAATAAACTTTATCCTTAGCATTTTAAGGTAAAATGAAAGGTGGAGGGGTCTGCAGGTGGGCAACTTCTCATTGCTTTTCAGGCTTTTTAAAAGGGCTGATGTATAAATCTTCCGCCCAGCAAATAGTTAAGCAAATACCGCTACTAGATGGAGCCAAGGATCATAGTAAATGCTCCTCGGTTCCATCTAGCGGCCATAATGCTGTGGGCATGGCTTTCACCCAGCTACAAGGCCCCGTTCACACCAGGGCGTAGCAGGCATGCAAGTTGTGGGAACACGCATTCCTGCACATTTGTGGGGGACTCGCACCGTGTTTGGTGCGAGTCCCCATTGATCTCCATTGGGTTCCTGAACACATGCCAATCGCAGAAAAGAAGTACATGTTGCAAATTATTATTATTATACAAATTTGGCAACACACGTTTTTTTCCCCACATGTTTGGGAAAAACTGTGCTCAGCCTCGTTTTGATTTGCTATGATCTGGCAATGCAATCGCGTTCCGCGTTTGTGCACATATCGTGAACACGTGTCAAAACTCACACTTTTGTGCACATTTGACATGCATTCATGATATGCGCTGATGTGAACAGGGCCGAAGCTGAGTGGAAATTGTATACATCAGCTCCATAGTGTATTTGCATTTCCATATTTTTGTTACATGTTCCCATTCACAAACCTTTCACATAATTTTTGAAAATTGATGCATACCATTTTTTACTTTAAGGAAATCCTTCCAATCTTCCCCCTTCTATATACTGTTAAAGTGGGAACTGGGGAGTTAATGTTTACCATGGTTAAACCTGTCTGTACTGTGCTGGCAGATCTCATTATCAGTTGTAAACCGGATGTGGACACTATATGTCCTAACAAAGGGTTAAAGATCTCAAGGCTTGGATGGTACATTTTATGTTCATCTTAAAAAACAAAAAACTGTCCCTCAATCTGTGCCCTAATTGTACATTGCAAGCTAAACAATCTCAAGCTGCCTATAGAGCCCTATGTATAAACCTGTGTCCAAAGAAGCAACTAGAAAGGTGAGATTTTTTGTATTTCTAGGTACACAAGGGGAACACATAACAAACATATAGTGGGGGTTTCCCAAACTTGATTGCCAGCATGGAAATACACTTTAAAGGATAAGTGTGCTTACAAAACAGTGATGTTGGCTCATCAGCCTCTGTGGTTCTTCTAAACAGCCAAATCCTTGTCAGATCGCCCCACTGGGACAGTGAATGGTGGCTGGGGTTGGGTTGGTATTTATGGTACCTTTTTGGAGGTCGGGGTAAATGTTATGCCCAAAAGATATGTTTTGGTTTTTTTTCATACAGAACATACATTGTTGGATAGATATTATTTTAAATGCAGTTGTTGATAAATAAAAACAATATATTTTTAAAATATTTTATGTTTTACTTTTTCTTTCCTCATTTTTTAAACCAAAATATCCCCATGATTGCAAAAAAATGTTTACTGTTGAGATGTTTTCTTCAGCAGACTTAAATCATTTTCTTGGTCACCTATTGTTCCTTTACAGAGCAGAGTAAATGTGTACAGCACGCATTGTCCATCAGGAACATCCGTACAGAATATCCTCCACTGGGCCCAGGTACTGATTACTCATTTATTTTGACTGTATTGATCAGTAAGGCTTATTCTATGTGATGCAGGAGCATGTGCAATGCCACATACAATCCCACATCTCATCTTGCAAAGTTAGGTTCAGTGCGGTTTCATTATTTCTTATTGGCACCCCAGCTCACCTAGCCATTGCTTGTGCGTTATATCGCACCACATTGCATGGTAATGTATTCTTTTATAAAAAGGTGCACACACTTCTTTCAGTGCAATTTAGCTGTGGTAGGCAGGTCATTCAAATGAATGGGTTGCCTTACTGCAGTGCACCTTGCAACACCCGCCGTGTTGCATCACCAAGATGTGAACGAGGACTAAAGCTGGCCATTTACTGTTGTATTTTTAAAAAATAGAACAGATTCCTCCAATGCTTACAAGCGTCGATCGAGGAATCCCCAACATTTCCTTTGTATTCTGCCGCCGGCCGCTGTCAACCTACCTGAACAGGGCTGGCTCTGTTTGTTCAAAGATTTTCCGACCGACTCCTTCGATCAGCTGATTGAGGGATGCCGGCTAAAAGGGTGCCGACAGTGGCACCCACTTTGTGAATTTTGTCCAGTTTCTGAAGACGGCCAAAATTTGTATAATATATGGCCAGCTTAACTGTCAGTGAAAGGCTGTGTAAGTTAAAAACCTAGGTGGGGTGCCATCAAACTGCATGCACTAATAGGCTGTATTCTAATGGATTGGCAACCCAAAAACTCTCTGCGTTTACAGTGTGAATTCATTTTTTTTTTTTGCAGGCTGTGAAAAGCGGTGAGCTGAAAGCATTTGACTTTGGAGTCGAGGGCAATCTTGCTCATTATAATCAGGTAACATTATCTTCCCTTTATGGATAGAGTTTAGCAGTTGTATGCGAGTATATTGATTCCCGCTGACTGTACACAATACAATACTAAAATATTCAAGAATAGCTCGTGGGGGATTTCACCCAACTGTTCACCAGTTTAAGTGTACAGAACACTAATGATCGGAACAGGGAACATTAAAAAAACTATTTTAGTTTGCGAAAATTCCCAGAACTTTCTTTTTTGTTTCTTGTTTGTGCTGCAGCGATATTTAAAGCTCATTAAAAATACTATGCATTCCCTTTAAGCCTCTGGTGCACAACATTCCTTTGTGTGGTGCAAACAGTAATCAGTATTTTCCTTACCACTGTGCTCACTCAGGATAGTGGAGGAAAAATATTCTTTAGACTGGCTTGTAGTATAATAATTTGATTTATTTCTATAACACTTTTTTTTCTGCATCACATTCATTTTCTTTTTTCTCTGCTAAGAGAAATAGCAAATGAAGCACAAGTCATATTTAAAGGGACTGTAGGGAGCGCAAATGTGGAGCATCAATTTGTAGCGGTATCATGTATGTGTCTCCTGTCTAAAGGTACGTTCACACCAGATGCAGTGCGTTCCGGTCCGACTCCGGCCGGAACACACTGCATCGCATTGCGGCCGGCTCACTTTTTTGTGGGGCAGGAGGGGGCGTGGCGGGCCATTGAAGTGAATGGCAACACAGCCATGGAGCTGATGTATACAATTTCCACTCAGCTTCGGCCCTGTTCACATCAGCGCATATCATGAATGCATGTCAAATGTGCACAAAAGTGTGAGTTTTGACACGTGTTCACGATATGTGCACAAACGCGGAACGCGATTGCATTGCCAGATCATAGCAAATCAAACGAGGCTGAGCAAACACAGTTTTTCCCAAACATGTGGGGAAAAAACGTGTGTTGCCAACTTTGTATAATAATAATAATAATAATTTGCGACATATACTTCTTTTATGCGATTGGCATGTGTTCAGGAACCCAATGGAGATCAATGGGGACTCGCACCAAACGCGGGAAAGTTCCACAAATGTGCAGGAATGCGTGTTCCCACAACTTGCATCCCTGCTACGCCCTGGTGTGAACGGGGCCTTATAGCTGGGTGAAAGCCATGCCCACAGCATTATGGCCGCTAGATGGAACCGAGGAGCATTTACTATGATCCTTGGCTCCATCTAGTAGCGGTATTTGCTTAACTATTTGCTGGGCGGAAGATTTATACATCAGCCCCTTTAAAAAGCTTGCATGGGATTGCAGGGCACATTGTGCCTGCGGTCCTCTACGGTGCGATCAATGCTGCAAGCACTATTTTGATCGCACCGGACTGGACTGCAGGCACAATGTGCCCTGCGATCCCGTGCGGGCGACCGCATTGCGGCCGGAAGGCGTGGCTATGGTGCCACTCACTTCAATGGCCCGCCACATCCCCTACTGTCCCACAAAAAAGTGAGCCGGCCACAATGCGATGCAGTGCGTTCCTGCCGGAATCGGGACGAAACGCACTGCATCTGGTGTGAACGTACCCTAAGATTGTCTCCTGAACATGTCTCCACTCTGCAGCAGCTCCTATAACATAACATGTTTTCAGTCTCTGACCATCTCCTGTTGCATGTCTACAGTCTATGACCCACTCTTGTAGCATCTTGGTACTCTTTGACCATTTCCTTATGCATGTCTGCAGTCTTTGACCGCTTTCTATAGCATTAAATGCTCTGAATATTATGTGTAGCCCGTTTGATGATGTTAGGGGTCCAGCTTGAGGTCCTTTATATCAAGTAAGTTGATTTTCACTGCTTTAAGCTTTTATTTTGTCACTGCCTTGCTGAAGGTTAGGGCTACATTGGTGACTAAACTGTATGTAAAGTCAGCATTTTCTTGTGTTGGGGGGTTTTTTTTTTGGATGGAGTAGGAAAGGCTTAGAGTGGGCTATACGTGCCCTGTTGACTGCTAGCCCTAGGACTGAAACTGAGGAAAAGTCCAAACTTTTAAGAGCAGAGAGAAGCAATAGCGGTGAAATGTTTAAATGGGTACAATTTGTTCCAGTGACAACTGTGTAAGGTAGGCGTTCCCTAACTTTGGAGAGATTTCCACTCACCCGTTAAAAAGAAAAATCTCCCAAATGGAACACAGATGAAAAAAAAATAAAACAAGTTCTAACCCTTCCTTACTCTATCCAAAACTAGATAAAACATTTGGCTTTACATCTCTTTACTACTAAGATATTAAGCCACTTGTTCAATATCTCAATAGACATAAGAGATTTCATTGCCAATGTAGCCCTAAGCCTAATTCTGCTTATTTTGTTAGATGCATTCTTAAGTGATATGGATGGTGAAGTTGTGTGCTTGGTTCATCCCTTCAATGCTGTCTTTCAGACTATTCCTCCTTTCTACAATGTGAAAGACATAGAGATCCCAACTGCTCTGTTTAGTGGAGGCAATGACTGGCTAGCTGACCGTAAGGATATGTCTTTGCTGCTCACTCAAATCAGCAATCTGGTCTACCACAAGGAGATTCCAGATTGGGAACATCTAGATTTCATCTGGGGTCTGGACGCTCCTGAACGCATGTACGGTGAAATAGTTAAATTACTGAAGAAGTTCTCCTGAACATTTACATTTCACAGATAACTTGTGTAACAAATGCTAACAGCTTTAGCTAGAAAATTCTCATCACCAAAATACATTGATTTTTGTCAAATCATTTCCTTCTCTGTGGATGGACCTCAAACAAGAGTAATTCAAAGCATCAGCGGCTTCTAGTTGTGCCACACCCATATGTTTGTACCTAGGGCCATTGCAGTGTCCTAGCCTTATTGTGTCAGGAGGCATAACTTGCCACTAATATTAAAGAAAATGAGGTTGTGTCACTGTAGTTGGGGTCTTATAGAGAATTGTCTGTTAGTTAAAGATACAGTTTCCTTAAGCAAACCATTTTTTGGGAATCTGTTGCAAAGTTTCTTACTTGTGGATACCTTCATTTAGGTGTTGGGATGCCTATCAGGTCGATCAGATAGGTAGCCCAATGGCCAAATGGTGTAGTTTGCATGGAAGGCTGAAAAAGCTGCTGCTAATTGCAATTCAGGGGCTTAGTGTTGTCCGCTTGCAATAGAAAGTGCTGTTACTGGCAGGATCTCCAGGTAAGAAACATTTAAAACAGATTCACTAAAAATGATTTGCTCAAGAAAACTATATACAGTGAGGCATGATGCCAAATATAAATTATATAAATTAGATTTACAGGGTTATTCACTAAAGGGTGAAGAGTTTGGAGAAGGCAGGGAAGGTGGACAAAATAGCTGAACTGGAAAAATTATCCAATCCATCTCACTTTTCAGTTCAGCTATGTTGTCCTAGATTGTTCACTTCTCCTGCCTTCTCCAAACTCTTCACCCTTTTGTTGAATAACCCTGTTAGGTTTACATACACCTTAAATGTGGCTAAAAAATGTGCCCAATCCAGTTGTATCATGCATTTTGTGATTCCATGATCAGTCAAAGTTAGTAAGAACCTTCTTCTTTTCCTTAGAGTTTTAGTTATAATATTTTTGTATGTCGCCAAATCGATGAATGTTTTGTGAACATATGAATCGAGACATAACATTGTGTATGCCTTTTTCAAAAATCTTTATGAAAGTACAACCATTGAATGTGCAGATGAATGTGCCTGCACTAAAAGATGCAGAAACAACTAATCGATAATGAGAATGAGTAGTTGACAACTATTCTCATTGATTATTATCGATTAGTTGGTTGCAGCCCTACTTAAAACCCTTTGCAGTCTAGCGATTTTTTAGTTTGCCTACAAAAAAAAATCTTTGTGTAATTTTTGTAGTTCCAGCATCTAAAGTCTATGTTCCTCTAGTTCCAAAGTGTATATTTTTTCATGCATTTTACATCATTTTATTTTGATGAACGACAAAGAATATAACAATAGAGAATATAACATTTCCTTACCAAATTATAGAAAAGAGATTACCTCGTTTCCTATGATATTCAATGGTTTTTTCTTGCTCAGGACCCAACTTTGTATTGCGATAACACACCTACGTTATTGAGCACTTTAACGTGTATTAAAGAAACCCTTAATCCACTGCGAGCCAGTTCATTTTCAGTGGGCTGGCAATGCATTTTAATGCACTTGACTCAGTTTTTTTAAAGGTGTGCTAGCAAGGTGCAATGGAGTTGCCATTTAAAATAAATTGCACCACAGTACCTATTGCATCTTAACATTTAAATTTTAACATATGTTACCACAACACAGTAGTGTGAATGGGCCCTTATAGTTTTAACCGTGCTTTAGAAGTCTATACACTGGAGTTAAATGTTGCATTTTGCAGCAAAGATACCAACATGTCTGACAAGTTTTTCATTATGGTGCTGCTATCTAGTAGTATCTGTGTACATTGCAAGTCTGTGTGATGGAATCACATGGCTTATTGTTCACTGGCATGCAGAGTGTTCTGCTAAACACTTGTTATTATGTCCTTCAACATACAATAATATGTCTGACAACTTGTTCACTGATCACAACCAGTAAAAACAAAATAAATAGGTCATACCGAAGCAGTTAGCAAATAATAAAAATATGTGGTGCAGAGGTCCGCCTTCTAATCTCAACCATAATAAATAACCTGCACCGCTTTCTCCATCTCAAATACGGGACATTTTCTATATGCAGACTTGTTGATCTCTATGAGGCTTGTCCATTTCCTGCCCCCAAGAGCTATATTTAGGTCAGGGTGTTAGAGCAAACATGGCAGTCTTGAATATAGAACACTTTGACATTGTGAGACAAAACCTTACAGGGTTTTGTCCCTTGGGGAATAGGGTGGACGGCCTCAGATTATGCAATAAATGTGAAGAACCTCCATATAATTAAGTGTATAATAAGTTGGTGTGCTCTCATCCTCTAAACCAGCTGTACTCTCAGGATACTTATGAACTGTGCAATTATTATTTATCAGATGTTATGGTCATTATGTACATTTTTGATGCATTGGATTTAACAGCCTTATAACAGTATTAGGTCACATTTGTGTAAACTCCTTCATAAACTGCATTGTCCTGAAACCTTCGCTTCACATTCAGTATCCTATTCTAGCCATCTGTATGATTCATGACTGTAAAGCTCAGTGATTGTTTACACTCAGGTACTTGGTGAAATGCTAGTTTTGATTACTGCTGCATTGCAGTGTTAGTATTACTCTCCTGAGCCAACCATTGGATGTCAAGCAGGTGGCAGCGAGATACACTTCTGCACCTATCTGTGCACCTGTGTTCAATGGACCATGTATTGGATGATAAACATATTGATGTGTGTGGGATCATAATTTATCAATAAAGCAAACCTGTCACTCCATACAAAACCTCACTTAACATGATGCTGTGGGGAAAGCATTTCAATGATATCCCTGCTATAAAATCCAATATTTTTTATCTTTCATTGTTTTACACGTACATGTAGGATGCAGAAAGAGAGTCACATTACTTCTGTATCATTCGCAAGGATAACTAACATGTATTTTTATCTTTTTAAACAATCTCGAATAAAAAGCAAAAACTTCAAACAAATCTCTGTGCCTTTAACGTGCTCAGGGAGGCAGAAAATTCCCAGTTCATTTCCCTGTTCCAGTTAAGAGAATAAGCACAACTGCAATAATGCATGTCTGTATTATGCATTTCATGTCCTTCCTATAATCTAAATACAGCCATAGTCTTCCCTATAACCACTAATTGCTTGACATTTTATAAAAATAGCAGATTTTGCAATAGAAAGTAAACAAAGGACAGTGTTCGTTGTTTATAGGGGATGTTCCACTTCTTATAGCGCGACTGTTATTACATGTCATTGCTTTTCTTACTAAGCTATCAGGTCTAACTTTAAAAGTAAGGTGTATGCTATTGCATTTGGGAGACTGGTATTTAAGAGTTGTGAGCTGATGTAAACTCTTGTGTACACATGCACAACACAGGAACCCTCCAGCACAATTACTTTACTCCGAGATAATCTGCATAGCATATGTTTTTCATCAACTACGAGACAACGCTATTAGAAACTACCCTTCATTAGCACTGTACACAGATTTACTTTGGACTAATGACATTTTTCCTAAACTGTTATCAACTATTTAAGTAATAGAAAGTAAACAAAGGACAGTGTTCGTTGTTTATAGGGGATGTTCCACTTCTTATAGCGCGACTGTTATTACATGTCATTGCTTTTCTTACTAAGCTATCAGGTCCAAACACATATTCTCAGGTTATTCTTTGCTTTTACAAAAGAAGATGCTCTTTTTATTAATTTAATTCAACTGTAAACTAATAACAAATGTGTGCCAAATAATGTATTTCAAATGTTTCTCCAGAATAAACCTTTACATTTGACACTAATTCGTGTTGCTTTTTAATCATTTACTTGCTGCACTTGTGTGTTTTATTTTATATTTTTTGCTGTTAAATTTATGAGATTTTTAAATCCTAATTCCAAACCTGTAAAATATGTTTTGTGGCACGTAAAAGGACACGGCAAATTAGCTAGTGTAGGACTATGGGCAACAATGTGACCTTTTAAAAGAAGAAAGGAGGCAACTTTGATAATAGCTGTTAATGTTCAGAAACACTATATTAAAAGACAACTCTACCTTTGGTGCAAGCTATCCTTTAATGCAGCCCTTCTCCACCCTTCCTTAGTACAGTTTACCTGGTCTGATTTTTTAACCCTGCCCCATTCCAGAACTCTTTTACTGTGGAGCCATAAAGCCTTTCTTCAGAAAGCATCCTCGCTGGGTCATCTTCATTCTTTGGGAAGTTGTACACATGGCGCCTCCAACGGTCCCGCAGAGTACAAGTACAGCTCTCCCAGGAGGAGTGCATTTGGGCTACAGCGCCCTTGAGCAGGATAGAGAGGACCCAGCAAGGATGCTTTCTGAAGAAAAGCTGTGCTTCTCCAGGCATGGTAGCATAGTAAAGAACACTAGAATGGGAGCAGAGGGCAGTTTTAGACCAGGTTGGCAGCAGGGGGTTGGTCTTTGCCTTAAAGGTCAACTTGACATAGGTAAAGCTGCCCTTTCAATCTAAATGCCACATAGAAAATGTTTGGCATCCTATTCCCTATCCTTTCAAAGTTATAGTTGAAGGATGTTTTTGCCTTGTGTTTGATTTGCTTGAGACCCATTTGTTTACAGATTCCTAATATCACGAAGAGGCCTGAAGAAAAGGCATGGATATTGTTTGATAACATTGTATGGTATCCAAATAAGATCATATCATTTGGATTTCACACTCTATAGCTAATTATGTTATTAAACAGTATCCATGCCTTTTCTGTGCATGCGCAGGTATAGAAAGAGTCATAGGCTTTCACACACTAACAGTGTACAGTAACATGATGTCCCTGATTTCCTACCATGGATTCAGAGTATGTTTCACCCTGGGCCCCAAACAGATTTGTGTCCCTGGGTATGAGGGCACTCTCTTGTACATGTGGTAGCTCTGCCACTATAAAACGTTTTTAGTGTTTAATCTACTACGGTAATAAAGCCTGTTGTTTATGGTGTTCAGTAGCTGAAGCTGAAATTTGCACACACAAGTAAGTCAGAGAAGTGACTTCTCCTTCTACCTCTGTACAGTTCCCTTGGAAGTTTCAATGAGAGACAATATGCCAGATTACTACTGCTGCGGTCTCTTAAAAAGGAAAGTAAAAGCTCAATTTCAATGTAATGAGCAAGTATACCTGTATTTACAATTACAACATTTACTTAAAATTAAAGTTTTCAAATAATAACACATTGATATGATATACATCAAGCTGGACTCTTAAATGTTTCTCTAAAAAACATTATACATTCCCTTTAAACCTGCAATGCAAAAACGCCAGTGCCTTTTTTTTTTTTGTTAGGGCTTTTCTGTCCCCCCCACACATTTCTGATACAGACAAGGTGCTTCAGTGAAGTGAGGTGTGACATCTTGTGACACCCAGTCTAGCTCTTGGTGGTACTGAGAGTACGTTATTTCTGGTACCTTGGGTGAGTAAGCAGATCTCTTTAAATACAATGCAGTAACGTGCTTCTCCTGTAATCCTAATATATGTGTTTGACATTTTACATGAAATATCTCTAGTGCAATTTCTTCACTCTTTTATCAGCTTCTTTTTTGCATACGGTAATTGCTTTTAGCTTAAGATTTCCAGGAACACTTTTCTACTGATGGGTGTTTTATCACACACAATATCCCTAATTATTGCATATTCATAAGCTCTGTATGTATATTTTTTGCCTGTAAAGGGCTGCTTGCCAAAATGAAACCTAATAGTCCAGATTATTGGTGATAGATGTTAAAAACGTAATATAAATAATTCAGAAATCATAGATATTGTGGGATAGATGAGAACAGAGCATTCCAGATAGTTGGCAAAGGTGCTGTGGGTATATGTGTGTTACAATGTATTGTATTTATCATAAGGCACAATGCAGTGTTTGTATAATACAAATTATTGTACGGTATTTTATTTTAGTTGGCTTCTGGTATCATCTAAAATAGAAATTATCTTCTGTTTCTTTATTTTACAACAAGAGCTCTAAGTTAGTATTCCAATTTTAACTTTATACTTTGCAGTCTTATAATAAAATGACAATACACAAAACCCCATTAAATCTACATTTGATACTGCATCCAAATCACTTTCATTTTATATTTTGTGAATTAAAGCATATATTCTGTAAAAAAGGCTCCTTGCAGGTGGGCTTTCCCTGTACTTCAAGGGGTAACTGCTCATTTATGTCTAGGGCCGCTGCTTAACCACCTCCCGTCCGCAGCCGTTGGTAGACGGCCGGAGGCCAGGAAGGGGGTGAAACACCCTGGTCTTCAAGTGGTTAAAGAACATTTACTTACCTGATCCCAGCTCCTGCAGGTTCCAAGACCGGCACCAGCAGCCTCTTCACCCCCTGTGCCCCAGTGTTTGGAGGCTCGCCGACGTCATTGCATACAATGAAGGGCCCATAACCCTGCATTATATGTTAGGATGCTGAGGGACAGTCCACGAGCCGGAGTATATGGAAGAGAGGTGCGTGCAAACTACCAGGAGAGTGGGGGATCAGGTAAGTGAAAGTCCTATACACAATGCCCTAGACATACATGAGCAGTTATTCCTTGCTGTGCTGGGGGTAGCCCCACTGCAGGGAGCGTTTTTTCCCCCCTGGAGATAGGCTTTCACTTTTTTTGACAAAATCTAACAATTCATAAGGATCTCATTAGCATTTCATAGACAGGAAAGAAAAGACCCAAATGATAAGATGAAAAATGTGTGGTACTGCAAACGTCAAGCATAGTTCTCAGTGTATGAACAGCACTACAAGAAGATTGTTGTCTATATACAGTAAAGCTGGCAATACACTGCTTTCTTTCATAAAAAAGATCTTTCATTCGACTTTCTTTTAGTTGATGAGGTTAAATCGATGATCGATTTCGACCATAGTGACAAAAAAAAAACTCTAAAGAGCAGGATGACATATTTTTCTCAAACAAATGAAATTCTGACAGTGAATGTGCTTTTAGTTCAGGAACCTGCATTCGTTCCAAAATTGGATGTTAAAATCAAACAGAATTTCGATTGACATTCGTCAAGTGTCTGATGGTCAAGAAAGGTCTCTCTTACAAAAGTTCATTTGGAAATCTCCTAGTGTATGGCTAGCTAAGAGTTCCAGGACACTTGAAATCAGCGTATCAACAATAGAGATACAATTACACATTTTTCCTGGTTATTGTGCCATATTTGAGTCCCACCACTTACAACACCTGAACCCTAAAGAATGGGTAGTTTATTGGACCCTAAAACACATTAGCTGTTGCACACTGCATGGGCATAAAAAAAAAGTCACACGCGCTAATATTTCTTTGAAGCGCCTTTTTCTTCGATTACGGCACGTATTTGCTGTGGCATTGTTTCGATAACCTAATGCAATGACGCAACATTTATTTCTGTCCGGAGTTGCATTAATTTTTCACCAAGCTCTTGTAATGATGATGGGAGAGTCGGATCACTGTGTAAAGTCTTCTCTAGCACATCCCAAAGATTCTCAATGGGGTTGAGGTCTGTGGTGGCCAGTCCATGTGTGAAAATTACATCTTATGCTCCCTGAACCATTCTTTTACAATTTGAGCCTGATGAATCCTGGCATTGTCATCTTGGAATATGCCCGTGCCATCAGGGTCATTCAGTATATTCATGTAAACGGCTGACCTCATGCTTTGGGGACATAACATCGCTGAACCTAGACGTGACTAATTCAAGCAACGCCAGAACTAAGCATGTAACCAATGGAAGGCTATTACCTTTTTGCTTTGCTAAATCCTGGTGGTGATTTTTTTTAGCCAGACAGTTACCCTGTTGTAAACCAATATCCTTATTAAAAGATTTTTGACATTTTGTTTGACACTCTCATTATACTGTATATACGTAGATTATCAATTCTGGGTGCCCTTTCTAGGGGATGTCCAATTTTGTGGAGAGCAGCTTCACCAGAGTTTCTGTGCCCTGTTATATTCTCACTGATTTACCCAAAATTCATATCCATTGCATCACCTTCATTTTTGTCTGAACAATAAAGCCCTGATATAGGGTCTAACCTTTTACTGCTTAGACAAAGTTATGTCATGCTGTCATAGAAGTTATACCACACTTGACTCAATTCACAAAGCTAACACATCAGGATAAGCTTCAATTAGGATAAGTGTTCAATTAGCTTACAGTCACATGGCTACAAATAAAGATTCTAATCCTTCTATGAAACATTGTAAATTGAGTCTATTGTGGGAAAGGAAAAGGAGAAATAAATGTATTAGTAAAAATTGAGAAAAGTGCAGATGTGTTTTGCTATACACGTTTAGTGTTTTGCTATTTTCTCTTTCCAGTTTGGAGATGTGGGCATTGATGGCTGTCACCATTTTGATTGCTGGATCGATGACAGAAACATTAAACATTTTAAGTGAAGAAATGCAAATGAATCGTAAAGTGGACCCTGAAGTATACATGAATGTTGTATGTGTTTCTTAGTGAGTGGGATAAAAATTGAGAGTGTGAAAGCGTAAAATAATACTAACCAGAGAAAATAATGATACACTTTTTTGTCCCCGCTTCGTCACACTGTTAGTCACTATTAGTATCTGATATTTTGTAAGGAAAATTATCATCGCCAATCCCATTCTGGAGATCCCAGTTGTCTGGCTGGTATACTGACCAACTAGATTCAATAAGGGTTGAATCACTGACCTGAAACAAGTGTGCATATCTGTAAAGTCAGATATCTTATTTTGCAAGCTTGCTCCAGGTAAGGGACACAAACCATTGAGACAAAATGATAAGAAAATTAGCATTTGCAGAATAAGAAGTAGCAATTGCTGCCTCCATGTCTCTGTCGGGCACAGGAAGTTACATCAGTCTATAAGGGCCGCACAGGGTCCCCTTCATCAGGCTTAGGTCAATCCTAAGCCTGAAGAAGGGGACCCTGTGTGGCTCCGACAGCGCTTGCACTTGGATGTCAATAAATGGACTAAATTCACTTTATCATTGGTGTGCTGGTGACATTCTTGGATTTATTGTATAATGCACTGTGCTGCCCGTGGTCACTACAAGCACCCACCTGGATTTCACAGGATTACTCACAAGCCGGTAAGGAGTACAGCGAGTCTCACATATATTTCATCAGTCTATTAGGGGCACAGGAAGAGACATCAGTCCATTAGGAGCATAGGACGTGAAAGGAGCCAAGTTAATGTCACGCCCTATGCTGTCCGGCTAAATACACCATACTGAGTAAAAGGGGACCGTACATAGTCTGTCTTGTGGCAAACTCACTTAAAGTGACATTAAACCCTCAGATTTTTTAACATAAAACAATAGTGTAATGTGTGCCTTACTGCAATCCATGGTTGTTTCTCTTCTCTTTGCTGCTCTTCCTTTTAAATCTGTATCTGTCCTCATGCTCTGCAGAACTTCTGTTTTGCAGCAGACTGCCTTGTCTCAGGAATGGATACACGGTGTCTGTGTATAGGTTTGTATAGGCTTGTAATCTGAGCCAGCACTACAGGAAGAGGCCCTGAGCTGAAAAGGGAAGTTCTCCCCAAGCATGAGAAGACATGAGGATTTAAAAGGAAGAGCACCAAAGAGAAGGGAAACAACCATGGATTACAGTAAGGCGCACATTACAGTATTGGTTTATGTTAAAAAAATCTGAGGGTTTAATGTCACTTTAAGTAGACTTCAATAAATATTTCTAGCCATAATGGTAAACAGAAACAAACAAAAAAAGAGCACTACTACCTGATATTGAATGGCATCTATTCATGAGAGAAAGACCAAATATGTGTAACTTACAGTTGGAAGTCCGCAAATGTGTTGAACCAATGACCGGTGTACAGAGGAAGTCCAAAGCCGAATACTGCAGCAGTGGATGGATGAGGGGGCGCTGTGAAGTTATTCAAGGAACGTGAAAAATAGATCGGACTCATGGATCGGACATTACATCAAATAATTTTCTATTTGACGACAGGGTAGGAATCTTTCAATGTAAAAAACCGAGGTGCCTAACTTGCCAATTTATCCAACACGGTCAAACCAAATTCTTTGACCACCTCAAGAAACCATACTATATTAAACAATTCATCACATGCTCCCACGACCACATGGTTTATGGACTGACTTGCCCCTGCGGACTTATTTATGTGGGCCGCACAATACGCCCATTACGAGCTAGAATTGGCGACCACAGACGTTCTGGATTTACAAACTAAACTCCCTTTCACCAGTTGGCCTTAACGAGGAAATAGAGATTCACACTATATTATAAATTGTGTAGCGTCACCCTTTTCATATGTCATATACCACGGCACTTAATTATTCTATCTGTCTGTTGCATTCCCAGTGCTTCTTATAAGAGTGCATTCATATACCGGATACACACACACAGATGCGTTCGCCCATGCGCAAATAGGCAGTTGTTTTGAATTAAATTTGAATTAAATTTTAATATTAATTGTAACACTAATGTTGATTTTGGTATGAACTATTTTTTAGAAGATTCGCATGCTAGTGGCATATACTAGTTCGGAACCTCCATATGCCTAAAATGAACACACTCCTATAACGCAGTGTTCGGCTTTGGACTTCCTCTGTATACCGGTCATTGGTTCAACACATTTGCGGACTTCCAACTGTAAGTTACACATATTTGGTCTTTCTCTCATGAATAGATGCCATTCAATATCAGGTAGTAGCGCTCTTTTTTTGTTTGTTTCTGTTTACCATTCGAATTTGCAGGGTCCTCTCCCTGTCAGTGAGAGCCTGCACACCATAATTCACAGCCCGGGATTTTTCCAGTGACCAAGTATCAGTTGTGCGCTTATGGTTTTTTGTTCTGTTGCATCTAGCCATAATGGAGCACTGAGGTTTCTGTATTAACAAAGGAGGTGTAACTGTGGAAATTTGTCTATGTCTGCAATGGCCATAGTAACTAGGTGCCAAGTATGTCTTGTATGTTACTAATTTTGCATTGTTCTTGTAATTTACAAAGTACTATCACTGCAGTCTTTTATCCACTTCAGGACCAGAATGTTACACCCTCTTTCCGTCCAGGCCACTTTTTTAGTTTTCAGTGCTGTGATAGTTTGAGTAACAATTGCTCGGTCACACAACACTGTACACAAATACATTTTACACATTTCTGTTAGACAGAGCATTGTTTTGGCGGTATTTAGCAACCACTGGATTTTTTTACCATATAAAACATCAAATAAAAAATGGCAGGTCAATAACACCCCACCCCCCCCCAAAAAAAAAGACCCCTTTTTGGAAGTTAGACACCCTAAGGTGATCTTATTTTTTGCCACAATATATTGAAAATTCAAAAAACACGTTGGTATCAAGGTGGTTACAAAAGTAAATTAAGGCATGCTCTAAAAGTAGCACTTAACCCCCCTCCCCCCCAAAAAAAAAAGAAGTATCCCATGATCATTGGTGGTCAGCTGCCTATCATTTTTTGGTGCATTGGTCCAAATAGGATACATCTTCATGTGACAACCCCTGGTTTTAATCCCAAACCATAAGTGACAAAATCTGCTGCAGGTTGGCAATAATAATGGCAAATATTGACTTGTGTACCATGTTGTAGAGTGAGCTGATCAGATACAGAGGATACCCCAGTGAAGAATATGACGTGGTCACTGATGATGGATATATTCTGACCGTAAACAGAATTCCACATGGAATCAAGGTAAAGCATACAGGTACGTTCACTCCCTGAGGGCGATGTCACATGTTCTGTGTTTCACCAAAAATAAAAACCTGGTAGAGAATGACACTACCGATTATTTCCTGCTAGAGAATGACACTACCGATTATTTCATGGTAGAGAATGACACTACCGATTATTTCCTGGTGGAGAATGACATTACTGATTATTTCCTGGTAGAGAAGGACACTACCGATTATTTCCTGGTAGAGAATGTCACTACTGATTATTTCCTGGTAGAGAATGACACTACTGATTATTTCCTGGTAGAGAATGACACTACCGATTATTTCCTGGTAGAGAATGACACTACCGATTATTTCATGGTAGAGAATGACACTACTGATTATTTCCTGGTAGAGAATGACACTACCGATTATTTCCTGGTGGAGAATGACACTACTGATGATTTCCTGGTAGAGAATTACATTTGTACTCTGCACCTGAACTCCTGTTCTCTTGCGGTTCTTTCCTCACCATTATTCCTCCGGAGTTACTGAACAGGAAGTCAGCTGCACTGACAAGTCTCTGCTGTCACTTTGTCACCATTCTTAATGAATAGATGTCTTTTATAGCAGACAACTTGTAGGGTGTATTTAGTGTCCTTGCAGTAGATCAGTATATCTTGGGAAATAATGTTGGGGCTATAGAGAACATGTACAATGACTGGGTGAGATCCTCCTGTGTGGAATGGTGAACTGGAGCCGCAGCTAATTTGGAAGGCTGAATGGCCTGCATGTCTGGCTGAGTATTGTGCTGCAATCTTATGAGTCATTCCACTCTCACTTCATCCGTTTCTTCCTCCTCAACACCCACTTCATCTATTGTGAAAGACTCTCTGGAGAAATGCTGCTCAGTGTAAGGACACTTGAACGCATACCTTTTACTCTAAGAGCTCTTAATCTTTATTCTCTTTAATCCAGTAAGACCCAAAAAAAAAAACAATTAGGTGAAAATGGATATATTACAAGTCAATCAGATAAAATGCATGGAATCTTCGGAAGATCGCTCTTAGTTTTTACACAGAAATGTAAAATTAATTTACCCGAAACTGAACAATAAGATCCTTAAATCAGTTTAAAAAGACAATGTCACTCCATTCAGGACAAAGTGACAGTATCTGTATAAAGGGCTCCCATGACCCAATAATGCTTTTCTTCCTCCATCACATCTGGCACCAGATTCCGCATTGTTGGCTTATGGCAGACACTAGGGGGAGCAGTGATATCACTCCCTCTGTTATGTCACTTTACTGTGGCCTAACGATTGGGGGGGGGTTGCTTTACCCAAACACTGTTAAGCTGGTATACATAAGTTAAACACTGTTAAGCCATTTACTATGTGAATTTCAGACAGTTCTTGATGAACCAGCCTAAATTCTCACACTATATGCCGCTGCCATCACACTTCTGGCCCGGGATCCCTTAATCATAAGGTCCAAAGAGCTGATTGGATCATCTTTGACTGAAGGAATCTTCAAGCCAATCAGCTGCAAGCACCGTTTTGGCCGCCAGCCGCTATCAGCATACAGTGAAAACACTAGGAGATTCCTTCATCCATGCTTGTAAGCATGGATGGAGGAGTCTGTTATATTTTCTTTGTTCAGCCCATAAGCAACACCCACACTGGGTGTCACTTATCACTAAAGAAAAGTGACATCTAGAGGAGTAGCTGAGTTTCTTTGGGGTACGTTGCAGAAAAATAAGCTTTTTCTTTGTCTTTAACTGTGATGGGCAATGTCTCTATTTTATGGGGGCTCACTTTGTGTTTGGTTTCTTATTGATTTTGCATTAAAATAAACCTGTAATCAAAGAAGTACAGGGGCTGCCATTGCTGACCACCTACTGAAAATCATTTTTCCTGGCCGTCATGTCCTCTGACATTGATACTTTCTCTGACATTGATACTTGGGTTAGTGATACTGTCACTAACCCAAAACAACTACTTGAACCAGAAGTTCTGCCTTTACTTGCTGCATACTCATTCTGCCCAGAGTGAAAGCAAAGCATTCATGCCGGAGGAACATCATGACAGCCAAATAATAGCAGACTATATTTTAATCATAACAGGCATCCTCCACTCTGGGCACAAAGGTTTCCATTTAAACATATTCCCCAATAGCCGCAAAGGATATAAATTAACTTTGTGTGTGCCGAATACCTTCCCATACCCAGATATTGCCTTATAAAACTGACATTATCACTGTGCTGCACATAACCTGTGCAGAGAGGTGTTTGGTATCCAGCAGGCCCCAGCCACTACAGGTTGCCTGCAGAACACTACAGGAGGGGGCGGAGACCAGACCAGTCACCCTGCACAAGGAGAGAGGGAGCAGCAGTGACTGGTCCTTATTACAGGAGGCAAACTTTCTCACTAGATTACTGCACATAATACACATTATTATTATACACAAAGCACATCAAAGTTCAAGGAAGAATACACATGACTCATGAATTTAGACAATACTTGCTTACCCTGGAGTTTTAGCTGTAATGCTAGTAGCTCCATACTTGTTTTCCTGCCAACATACTTACCAATGTGTCCTTGTTAAAATGTTTACTTTATAAATAACATTTGTGTTGGTCATGTTCTCTTAATAGCTAAGAGGCTTTTCAGCCGGCGTTCAAACTATGAACACAGCAAATGAGCCAACAATACTGGATTGCTTGAATTGCAAGGAAAATCTTGTCATTGTCATTATGTACATATTGTCTTTATATCAAAAACTTGCTCCAGAAGTCTGTATAAGGAAACGCACTGGGCCAGATAAACCAATGCCAGTGCATGGAATATTTAAGGCAGAGAAACCTGCTTCTGTGGAGGCGCCAAATAATAGTTCAGTTTGAAGGGTTTGAAATGAAAGGTTCCACTAGTTCACCACTTGTAAAAGAAATCCCAAGTTAGACTTTTCACACCAGAAGTCTCACAATCTGCACCAAATAAATAATGGTTCAGAAAATGAGTTTGCCAATATACACCAGTGGCCAGATTATTATGACCACCTGACGCTTGTAGGCAAATTAGCTATAATTAGCTATAATTTTGCGCTGAAGTTGCTAGAGGGCCAGACCATTATAAATAGGGAAGCATGTTGTTTACCACGACAGTAGAAGTGATTTTTTTCTGAAGATATGGGTAAACAACGCGATTTAACAACCTTTGAACGTGGGATCGCTTGCCGCCAATCATGGCATCTCTACGAGCACAGCATGAACTTTAAGGTCCATATACGCTGTATAGAGTGCAGGTGATACATTCTAACGCTACAGAGTCACGAAGGTAAAAACTTAAATTACCGGATCCTTGTTGGTCTATGGGCAATCAGATTTAAACAGACTTGCGTCCATTTACATCAGATTACCCCCAATCCTCCATGATCAGGTCCAGTAAAACGGAACTCTGATCAGTTTTTCCAGACCTGGCCTGAGTCAGGGGTAACCAGACATCAATGGACGCCCGTCCGTTTAGATCTGACTGCCCGTAGATTAACATTGGGTTTCTGATAAGGTCCACCTGAAAAAGTGACCGGCGGACCTGATCAGAAAGCCCATGTGAAGGGGCTCCAACACTTATAATCCTTATACATAGTCACCAAATGCTTACAATAAAGGCACAAAAATAATTCCATACCAATGTGATGTTTATGTATAGGAATTCAATGTTTTGATGAGAAAATATGAACATTTGGGTGTGGGATGATTTCACTTGTATGTGTCAGCAGAGGGGAAAGGGAAAGGCTGTTCCAGAAGGGCAGATGAGTATGTAGTTGAATGCTTCCTTTTATCTGTTATGGGCCTGCTTATGGCAAGTTCCCAGACTGCTTTCCTAAAATAGATATTCGATAACTTGAGCTGTGACAACCAATATTTTCATAGTTACCTGATTTTCACATTAACATATATTGATCTCCTAGGTCGTAAACCTGTAGTATTCTTACAACATGGCCTGCTTGCAGATGCTAGTGTCTGGGTCTCTAACTTTGAGTACAATAGTCTCGGGTTTATCCTGGCTGATGCCGGCTATGATGTCTGGATGGGAAATAGCCGGGGAAACACCTGGTCCCGGAAACACAAGAGCCTGTCACCTAAAGATAGAGAATTCTGGGCTTTCAGGTGTGTAACATGCTATAATTTACCTTACTATTACTAGTATTCTTTATTATAATTTGGGAGATTTACATAAGCTTATTCAATATAACAGCGTAAGGAGCCAAGTCATAAGTGCAGAATGCAGAAGCTAACTAGAATTCACACAGGAACCAATCAAAATCCACTTTACTAAAGCCAAACTGGTACAAAATTAAATCTAATTGGATACTAGAGCAACTGTACTTTGCACCTAGAGTTTTTGTTCTTTGCGATTTATATTGAATAAGCTTGATGCTGCCCCTTCATCAGTGTGTTCCCAGCTTACTACTGCAACCATAGCTGCTTTCACAATGTCTGCTCCTTATGCACAAAGAATCAGCTCTTCATCCCATAACCATTAAATAGAGAAGCTTATTCAATAGAAAGTGCAAGGAGCAAAGTGCTAATAGACGAGTACAGTAACCCAGAGCAACTTATCATATTTCCCTGCAGCCACACCAGTGCAAGGTGAAATCTGATTGGTTGCTCTAGATACTGCCCTTTGGTCCTGGCACTGTTTTATTGCATGAGCCTATTACATTATAGTGCACTGTGAGTTAGATACCTTATCATAGCCATAGAGAGTCATTCAAATGTAAAATAAATTAGACTGGTGCAAGCTCTATTCACCTTTCTTTTTCCCCAGCTATGATGAAATGGCGAAGAAAGATATTCCCGCTGTTATTGAATTCATTTTAAAAACAACACATCAAAAACAAATATTTTACATTGGTCATTCTCAAGGAACCACTTTAGGTGAGTTGTGGCTCATGAGTGTAAGTTACCGTTACATGTTGAGGTTATTTTTTATGAATAGTGATAATTCATCTTGGTTTCCAGTCATCTCTCCTATGATGGCCTTGTTTAATAAGAATAGGTAGACATCCATGTTATTGTACAGAGTGCATTAAGCCACAATGACCAGACAGATTTCAGTTTACTCACTAGTCACACCAGTGAGATTTCTGATTGGTTGCCCTGGATTACTATACGTTGTACATTGACCTTTATCATATTTAAATAAATCTGGCCTATTTGTGCTGAGCATATGGGGAAATAATTCATAAGTAGAGGTTACCTTCAGTGAAAATGGTATGTCAGAACACTAGAGACAAAGGGAGCTGGTGTATATCTATATTTTCCTCTTTGCTGAGCCTGTCCTCATACTATCCCTTTAGCCTCCGTGTTTCTTCTTGAATATGATGGGACGTCTCCTATCACATAGTGATGATCAGAAGGAGGAAGGGGTTGGAGTTGAGAGCTTCATATAAATTCAGCTGCCTCTATATTTGGCTGTACTACATATACAGATATGAGGTACCCTCTGTTTATGCACTGTAGGGGTAGCTGGTCTAAAACGGCATGTAATTTATGAGACTACAAAGCTTGATTGAATTTGGCACATAAAACCCGTGGTCCCTTCAGGGAGCATACCATTCTTAACAGCCTTGCTTAGGGTCTTGTATTTGATTGTCATTGTATGCTCATGTGCTTAAAGGTTTAGAACTTTTTTTATTTCATGGATTAGGCTGTCTGGGTTCTATTCCTCTGCACTCGAAAAGGTGAAACTAACATGTCAAAGTTTCTTAAGTAGAGATGTTATGTGTGGGGGGATTAGCAAAATGAATTAACTTGATAAGAAGCCGGTCAGTCACTGTACAGTTCAGCCAGACCTGGCTGGTGATTAAAAATGTAATTCTGTGTACCGGTTGTAGGTCAAACATTGACTTGTGTGCCTTTGAATATGTTTGCTTAACGTTGTTTTTTCTTGTCTCTCTAGGATTTATAGCATTCTCTACTATGCCCCAGATGGCCAAAAAAATCAAACTATTTTTTGCTCTAGGTCCAGTTGTTACTCTTCAACACTCCATTGGTCCAATTGCAGCTTCCAAATTTCTGCCAGACTGTCTTATTGAGGTATGCTATTAAAGATAAAGGACAGTGGGCCTTATTTTTTGAAGTGCCTGAAAACACAATAGTCTATGTTGGTTTAACCACTTCAAGACCAGGTGTTTAGACCCCCTTCTTGGCCAGGCCATTTTTCAGTATTCAGCGCTGCTGTACTTTGACTGACGTTTATTCCGTCATGCAACACTGTACTGAAATTAATTTTATACAATTTTTTGGGGACACATAGAGCTTTATTTTTGTGGTATTTAACACCACTACGGTTTTTATTTTTTACTATAATTAGGAAAAATTACAGAATTTTTTTTTTACATTATGTTAGGAAACATCCGTCGGGTAAATAGACACCAAACATGTCAAGCTTTAAAATTGCGCGCACCCGGGAAATCGCAGAAAACTACCATACCCAAAATTGGCCATAGGCGACACTTTAAAAACTTTTAACCGCTCATCAGTTTAGTGTTATCAGTGATTGATGGCCCTAGACTTATTGCTTTCACTCCGACGTTCGCGGCGATATGTAAAATGTGTGGCGTAATGGGCGCAATCGTCTTTTTTGCACGTATGCGCCCCCGACGCATGTTTGCTTACGTGTACGTATGGGTGGGGACTTTATCATTTTTTAAAAATTCTTTTTTATGTGTAACTTTAAATTTTTTTGGGGGGCACGTAATTTTTTTTTTCACTAAACTTTATTGCTATCACATACAGCCGGCGGATCGCATGTATGGTAACAGGCATCGCTGCCTGTTTTTAAATATCGGCCTTTTCCCGCTCGCGCGCGCCGAGCGGCGCACGCGAGTGGGCGTGTCTGAGCGGACGTCTAAAGACGCCCGCTCAGATCTAGAGAGCTCCCGGCCGGCCGTTTTTTTCCTACGGCCGGCCCGGAGGACGTTAATGATACCAGTCAGATTAACAGGTCTATTCACAAAATCGTGAAGAGTTTGGAGAAGGCAGGAGAAGTGAACAATCTATGACAAAATAGCTGATTTGGAAAAATTCTCCAATTCAGCTCACTTTCCACTTCAGCTATGTTGTCCTCGATTGTTCGCTTCTCCAGCCTTCTCCAAGCTCTTCACCCTTTAGGCTGGGTTCACACCTGGGGGTACGGAATATGTGCGTTTATTGCGCGTTTCGTGCCGCATGTTTTTACCGCGATTTGCGCTAAACAAAAGCGCAACAAACGCGCGTTTCCGAGGGCTAGTTCCTGTACTTCTTTGGGCGTAGGGCGTTTTTCAGCGCGTTCCTACGCGCTGTAAAGCGCCCAGGTGGGAACCATGCCCATAGGCAATTATTGGTTTTCACATGTTCAGCCCAGGTGTGAACCAAACCTTAGTGAATAGACCTGTACATCTTCCATTCTCTAATTTTAATCTACTAATTTAAGTTTTAAGCACTATTGATGTATGTTGTAAAACCCAAAATGTTAATTTTGACATAGCTGGAAGGGTTGATTCTCACCCATATTAACAGTATGATCACAAAGAAGGGATGCTTCTTTGTGATTATGATAACTCTCTGTACAAGCAGTAAGGTGCATGGGGCCACAGTTCCACCAGTTTAACACTTGGTCTAAGTTGCCTGCTGTGTCATTCAGGGAACAGGGTATGTTGCTAATAGTTGATGATCAGCTCACCTTAAGAAACATATAGTGCAAGTCCAATAGCTTTAACACTTGAGTCACAATCCCAAAACTAATGTTCAGATCAGGGGTTCTAAATTCACTTGCTCCATCCATGCTCCAGGTCAATGAGTCAATAATGATGGCAAAGAATTTAAGCTAGAGGTAGCTAGACATTTAATAATTGTTAGGCCTGTTACTGATAAAAAATTTCGTGTTCGATTAATCAAATTTTTTTTAATCGATTAATTTCGATTAATTATAACGCACATACAGATCCAACTACATTGGCCTATACACATACAGCACAGCAATGAAGTAATAAAATGAACTAGGATCACACTAATCCAGCATGTTAATAATCTCACGTGCCCCACTCAATATGGCTGCCGCTTGAGTGGGGCAACTCAGAATAATAACGTGCTGGATTAGTGTTAATTTTATTACTTCATTGCTGTGCTGTATGTGTATAGGCCAATGCCTTGGCTGGCGCTCGTGCAGAAAGTTTCTTGGGCTAACTCACCGGCCCAAGTGGCTCCGTCGGCTAACGAAGAGGGGTAGTTCGGTGACGTCACGGACATCGACGTCACCGGACTCCTCCCCCTTCCCTTCGTTAGCCGACGGAGCCACTTGGGGACATCGACGTCACCGGACTCATCCCCCTCGTTAGCCGACAGAGCCACTCGGGGAAGGGGGGAGGAGTGCAGTGACGTCGATCTCCGTGACGTCACCGGATCTCCGACGGGACTCCCGGAAGTCGGCGGAGAGGTGAGTATTTTCATTAGCGATCAAAAAAAATGTCATCGATCAAAAAATTTTTAATCAATCAAAAAAAATTTAATCGATCAAAAAGATTAACGATTAATAGAGAAATTAATCGTTAATTTGCACAGCCCTAATAATTGTCAATGTCACTTGTCTCTTGGTACAGATTTCCTTTAAAAACACATCACAGCATTCAAAGGGTTAAATCCCCTTTAGCCTAGTGTTCAATCCTCTGGAGAACCTGGAGAGAGTTCTGTTGTAATACTAAAACCTAATTTATGGGAAGGAACCTGTGCATTGCAGGCTTATAGTTGATTGCCCTCCTGCTTCTTTACAAATATAACTTTCCCTGTAATATAAATGAGTTAAGTTGTGAACATTAGTTTTTCAGTTTCTTATGGTTACAGGAAATTTTTGGTCACAAAGAATTTCTGCCATCAACAAGCATTATGAAGCGACTGGCCAATAAATTCTGCAGTCATGCAGTGCTCGAGGAAATATGTGGCAATGCTTTGTTCATCCTGTGTGGATTTAATAAGTGGAACATCAATATGGTATGTGTAACTAATCTGTCTAGTATTTGAAAAAGATCTTTTCATGAAGCTGCCATCAAATGTCAGGATATTTGCATCCGCCAAGAGTGTACTCACACTGGCCACCAAATCGTGTCCAAGTATGAATAAACTCCCCTCCCCAATCCCCCTCTGGTCTGCAATCATACTGTACTGTAAAGGAAGCATTCCTAGGCACTCATAGGTGCTCTCTGCCAGCTAGACCACAGTGACCCCTTGTTCTGTGCTCTGTGACATTTCAGTTTTTGAGCACACTGAAGTGAAGCTTATGGAACCCCAAGTGAACTGTGCGCCAGACCATCTCTTCCAAGTGGTCCCAGGCAAGGTATGCTTAACCATGCTTCATCATTGTTTGGTGCGCTCGCCCTACACAAAGGGACCGGACTAAGGGGGTGAATCTTGCCAGGGCATGGTTAAAACAACTTTAGACGTTGGCTAACTGGGAAGGTAGGGCCAGAGAACATGTTTGGGATTCCACTTGCATGATGACATTCCCCATGCTATGACAATAAAAAAAATGAATTGCATGATTTCATTGAATGGTCTTTCTAAAGGGAAATTATAATTTCTATAAGTGCTTACACTCCTTTTGATATTTTTAATGATATATATTGTAAGGGGGATAGGCTAAACTGGTATTGCCAGCTGTAAACTATGCTTAAGGCTCCACAACAGAAGTTAATACGACTCTGAAGAAAGAAAAGAAAAATGGTTTTCTTTATATTACCTATAAACACTGGAGCCCACACTGTCAGTGCCTGTCTGATTGATAGATAGATAGATTTATCTTGATAGCTTGTTTTGTTCTGACTCATCCAGTTTCATGTGACATTTCACTCACTTTGATCTTTCTTTCCCGGAATAGCAATAAAAGAACCTAGAGCTCCACTTGCTGGCTGGATGAAAGACTACATTCTTTTCTTGCGCAATATTTATAGATTTTATATAACACAATATTGGCTAAGAAAATCCTGATCATAATAAATAGCAAAATATATGGAAAATAATATGTTTACGTAACCTTTAATGAGGAAAACTAATTCTACAGTGTGCATACCAACAGATGTTAAATCTCCATCAGTTTACCATCTGTAACATACTACGGTAATATTAGAAAACTCTTAATCCTTTCTGTAGCAGAAACCTACTTTTTATGTAGTACACACACCAGAACTGATGAGTTTGGCCTTTTGTCTATCTGCTTTCCCCCATCATGTGATAGCTGAGTAGATCTAACATAAGTCAAAATAAATCTCCTCTCCATGAAGGGAATATAATGTTAGTACAGTGCACAGTGATGTGGAATGTCAGGCATCGTGGATAGTGGAAGTGGTGCTCACAATAAACATGTAATAAAACAAGGGAGTGGGAGTTTTCTTACAAAGTTATTTTGTTTTGCATGAGTCCCGGGTGACTTGAGGGAATGTGCGAGATTATGAGCTTTAACAATAAATGTTAATTGTTTACATTTAGTAATTTGAGTTGTTCATTTGAAAATCATCCTTATTTTTAGTTATATTGAATCTCTTCCTAGAAGTGGCATTTTTAAAATGTATTACTTGTTTTTGATTTGCAGAGTCGGGTGCCTGTGTATATTTCTCACTGTCCTGCTGGAACATCTGTGCAAAATATGCGTCACTGGTCACAGGTATAGTGGGACATATATATAGTCAGAAATAATCAAAATAATGCTAATTCAAGATTCCAACAATGCATTTCCCAAGAAGCTTTCATTGTACGTTATATTGGATGCATTTCATTTGGATGCTGCAATATGGTTAGGCCTATTTATGGTAAAGGGTAATGTGCAGAGTGCAGTATCGAGTGGCAACCAATCAGCATTCCGACATTTTTCTTCTTAGGCTCTGCATTCTGGCCAGCTGCAGGCTTACGACTGGGGTCAAGAAGGAAATAAAAAACATTACAACCAGGTAATAATGTAGAGACAATAGAGAAAAGCGAGCTTGTTTTTTACAAGATATAAAGCACCCATAGACATAAAACAATTGTCTGAAGAAATTGATGATTTTTGGCTGTACATTTGTGTAAGGCTGGTCATACATGTTACAATGTGATTGTACTGAGATTAAACAATCTCCTTTAGATTTACCAAAACTAATCTCATATAAAGACCTACCTAAACAATTTATTCAGTCTCTATGCAGTCAGCCAGGCCCTCGTCATACATATTTCTCTATGAGATTGCGCAATCATATTGTAATATGTTTGGTTAGCCTTAGAATCATCAGGAAAAGATCACTCCTGCTAAGAATCTTCATAGGCATATTCTTTTGAAAAAATTATCTGTACAGCTGGAATTTTTCAGATGTTTTCTACTGAATGATCAATCTGCGTATTTATTTTTCCATCTCGAGATTATGAAACAATTAAACACAAGAAGCCTGTGCATTTCCTTTACTCTGCAGTATCGTTTCCTTACACTTAGGGCTTGTTCACACCAAATCCAGACCAGATCTGCATGAGTTTCTGCACATGCAGTGCAGTGCTTTTTTACATATTTTAGATGCGTTCTGGTCCATTAAAAAAAAAACTTTTTTTTTAGCCTAAAATGGGCATTCAGTGCGTTCCAGGGCGTTTGCATGCGTTTTTGATGTGTTCCACATGCTCTGGAACTGAACGCTGTGGTGTGAACTAGAGCCCAAAATACCATTGGAATACATTGGATGCATTTTTGATGCATTCTGTAACTGCTTTGCACTTGTGTGAACAAGCCCTATCTAGAACCAAATGTATCAGCTGTCAGGCAAGACACTGCTCGCCTGTCCTCACAAAGGAAGGATGGCATTGCCCCAAACTAGACAAAGCTGGACATTTTGGTTGGCAATTCTAAGGTCTTATAGGGCAAATGTGTTGCATATCTTGTCCTGGAAATTTAGCTAGTAATATTATAAAGTCTTTGGTGTTCTTAAAATATCTACAGTACAATAAATTGGAAGCATGGCTTCTCTGTTACATCATACCTCCCAACTGTCCCTCTTGCCTCCTCAGTTATCCCTCTTTTTGGTCTGATGTACAGATATCTATAAAAATGTCATTACTAAGTGTTACTCTGCACCTGAAACCTTTATCTTGTCTCTTAATTATCTTGTTTGCTTAAAAAAAAAACAACCACAGTATAAAAGGAAAAGTAATGGTGAAAAAAAGAAAATTCTGCCTTTACCCAATAATTTTTGGCATATACATTCTTAATGGACCACATAACAGGGGGTGTGGCAGGGTGTGTCCATTGCCTAAATACATTGTGCTGGAAGGTGTCTCTCTTTCTCATCTCAGAAGGTTGGGAGGTATGTTACATAAGTGAGAATTGGGATCTTTTTATTTAATACAGATACTATTTTTCCCTCTTGTCCTAGTTTCTCATTAAAGGAGAACTATGACGTGAGTGATTTCCACTCATCCTTATAGTTAGAGCCGACATGTTGGCTCTATCGATCCAGAAGGGAGCAGAAACATGCATCGATCTGCTCACTTCCCGATTGTATCCATGCAGTGAGCGGTGACTGTCAGGCACGGCACCACGCAGGGATCCCCCCCCCCCTTACGATCCCCCCCTCTAGATATGCAGAGCCAGCTGTCACTCACGCAGCTGGGTGGATCTCGACAGTAATGTCGGGATCCGTCCCAGCTGTGGCGCTCACAGTATATCGCAGGCAATAGCCCATGATATACTGAGCTTTGGGTCACGGGAGGACGCTAGCATATGTCCTCTCGTGACCCTAAAGAGAACTATTAGGGAAAAACACTTGCCCCATAGTTCTCTTTTAAAGATTAGGTCCATATGGTAACTGTTGTATCTGCAATTACACATTTGTCCAATTCATACTGTACAGTGTGGTCTTCTGCTACTCTGTTGCACATAGAGTACATTGAGAAAACTGCACAGCATTGCTGAAAATGGAGAAAGGTATGTTACAGGTGGAACAGAGTACTGTAGCCCCATCTCTCTCCAGAGCATTAGGACACCTTAGACACATTGTATTTCTATATCTTTAGATGGCTCATGAAAGCTTTTAATTGCTGTATGCTTTTCTTTTCGTGACATTTCTGCATTTTTGCTTAGACCACCCCTCCTTTGTACAGAGTAAAAGGCATGAACGTTCGCACAGCAGTGTGGAGTGGGGGCAATGACTGGGTGGCCGATTGGAAGGATGTCTCCTTATTACTGTCTGAAATAAACAACCTGATCTATCACAAGGAGATTCCAGAGTGGCAACATCTAGACTTCATCTGGGGTCTGGATGCTCCATATCGAATGTACAATGAAATCCTCCAACTGATGAACAAGTTTATATAATCTCCACAATGTCACCATGTAGCTGTTGTCGAAGAACATTTCCCAAGTAGTAATGGTTGGTAGTGCAGTAGATGTGCAGTATTCATGTTGTAGGAAGTACTTGTAAGCCCTACCAAAGAATTTCCCTTTGTCTCCATTTTGGTGTGTTAAATATACTTCTGAAATCATGTTGTTTTATCTAATTTATAAATGCAAACTAAAGCTTCAGAGCTGTCCTGTGTCTTTTGCCGTCTTCACTGTAGTCCTTCTGATGCTAATCTTGGGACTACAAGTCATTTATTGCCTATGCTTTGGAAATAAAGACAGTGGGCTGTATTGAGTAGTTTAGCAAGAAAAGACTGGATACGGCTGACACCACTCATTCCACAAAAAAAGCTGCGTGTTGCCAGACTACAATAGAAAATTAGGAGGCAAATGCATTTCTGGCAGATCAACTGGTATTTTTTTGGACTTGCAGGGTCTTTAAAAGTATAAACACGGGAAAATGTGTATGTATTGCAGATATGTACTGCATATTTCTCTTTATTTGCAATGAAGTGGAGAAGGCAGATTGTATACCTCTCATGTGCAAGGGAAAATATTCATGATGGTTTGACAAGGATGAATGGATTGCTTTCCTGCTAGGAGTTTATTATTCTTAGATTGTTTGTTGCCTATTATTTCTTGATTTTGGGGGAGATTGGCAGCGCACGTTATCAGGGGGGTGGCACGGGGTGCATGGTACCTCTGTCTGGCATCCCGCTCAGCTCACTGATGTCACTGGTTCCCAGGAGCTGGGTAGGATGCCAGCCAGGGTGCCCCACTCAGCTCCTTGCAACCAGTGACATCAGTGAGCTGGGTGGGACACTGGACAGAGAACCACAGGTTGCCAAGAGCTCTTAACAACCTGGGACATTCTGGCTAGAAAGGCACACCTGCCCCACCATGCAACCCAATCAGATTACTGGGGATGCCCTGAGTAATATACACATAGGTATTGAGAAAGGACTCAATGCAGCCTGAACATTTACTGGGGAAAGTCGGCATGACAGCCATATGATCAAAGCACAGTTAACAAATATATTGTAATCATTATTTAGTTCAGAATTCAAAATGAGAAAACTATAAAATACACCAGAATTTGCTTCTTTTCCAAAAATATTTATTAACTTTACACAAAAATGTTGTAAACTTAAAATGGCACTTTATAAATCATACAATTCACTGATACAAAATGTAAAGTAAATGAAGCTGTGGAAGTATAAATAGGACTTCAAAAGTTTAAAAACACATATTTACACCTATACAGGGCTTGTTGCGGTTTCATGTACAAAAGCAGGTATTAATCAGAACGCATGGAGCAGGAATTTGACTGGTTCCCATGAACACAACCATGCCCATTTTGGATACATTTTAAATAATCAGATGGCCTGCATGGCACTTGTACTACTAAACTTACTGTGAAGCTCATGTAGTTAAACAAAAATCAATGTAATAATGCAGTTGATCATAGGAATGGAAGAGTAATCTTTCAGTTTTTCTGACTGATTCTGATTGGTTATGCATTACTCTACTCTTCATATCATTACCAATCCTTGCATTTCCTTATTAAGGCCACACAAGCTTGCTAAGCCACTGAACATATACATTTGGAGGTCCTTCAAGAAGTAATTCGAGCACAGCCAGCCATATGTATGAATGTTTCTAGTCTTCCTGGCTCTCCTGATCAGAACCAAACTCTCAATACAGGAATCTCCTGAAGACTCGTATGTATGCCTGAGCTATCCTAGGCCTTTTTATCTATGTTAATGCCACTGTACAATGTTCCACTGTGACAGCCCTCTGCTGCCATAGTAAAGATAGACCCATTGGCACAAATAAAATGTTGGGCAAAAGGTAGTTAATGTGCTGTATTCTTACTGCTATGAAGCCCCATCCTCATTTCACTAAGCCCTGACTTTTTATCACTATACAAGTTGCCACTTAATGCATACTGGGGAAAGTATGAACTGTTATTCCTACCTCCTAGAGAGATGAACAATTGTTCAGTTATATGTTGGAATTTAGTTATACTACGGTATGGTGACATCATTGTTCCATATGTGGTGATGTTGCATCATACTAGAAGGTACCAGTTGGTGTAAGTCTGTTGTGTCTTCTCTCTTGGGCCTCTAAGCTTTGGCCTTCAAAAAGCCTCCACAGGCTTGTTATACTTAGCCGGCATTCCAAACATGCATTAAAATCAACTTTTTCTAAGGAAACATACAGGCTATAATGACCAACCTGCTCCTGAAAGTGCCCAGCTGCCATGCAGATCCAGTATCTTCAAAGTTTTTAAGTCACTAGAACATGTATGGAGATTAGCTATACAGACTTTTCTCTCTGCGTGTTTGTTCTGGGTCAATGACTCAAAGTACTGAGACCAAATCCAGCCAGGCAACTAGCTTTTTAGTAAGGGAAAGCAGCTTTCAGTATAGGTTTACTTTAAACTGGTCTCTAAACATATAGTATATATCCCAAGCATGTGATATCCTAATCTACAAAGTAAATCAGCCAACTTGAGATATAAGGTATGCATGAGTACGAAAAGAGAGCATGCTCTGGAATAGCAGCATTATATAATCAACAATGACAGGCCTCTGAATGTAAGAAGTTTTATACGGCTATGGTGCACTTTGTGAAAAGTCAAGAAAAAGCACAGAATGTAACAAGAGTTATGTAACTAATAGTGTAAATGTAAACATGGGCCTTCTGATTATTTCATGCCAAATAGAAAGCCCCAACCCAAGGCAAGAATGGCTCCATTCCTGGCACACATAAGGAAGAGGTTTAATGACATACATTTTAGTCATACTTCATCATAGCAACAAAAATAACATTACTTAATAAATTAGAGTAACCATGTGTCAACTAAAAATAAAAAATGCACATTGTGTATCTCTTGATATAATTAGAATTCCAGTGCACTTAATATCCACTGTCTTCCATTGCCTGACTGTATTAGCATCCCACAGGTAGGTAGTATGATCTTTGTTCTTCTTACCAGCTAAAAGGCAGACAAGTGCTCATTAAAACTATGAAGACTTTTTCATTAACGCCAAAATATTTTTAAATTTTAATTTCGCTGCAATGTCGACTGGGCTTTCACCTTCCTGTAAAAATAGAAAATATAAAATAAAATGAAAAAAGTCTACATTTCTAAGCAATGCATTGTTGTAAAGGAAAAAATAATTTTCATATTACCTACAAAACAAAAAAGGGTTGATTTACTTAAGGCAAAGAGGAAACTTAACTTTGCGAGAGAAGTTTCCCTTTTGTTTAGTAACGCTGCTCCCCCACCATCACCAGGAGAAGAGGTCAAAGCAACGGTTAGTCCCTGTAGTTTTTTTGTGACCTCTGCACTGCGTTACATACTGACCGCTGACCTCTGTACTGTGCGTCACACCCTGACCTCGGCACTGCGCGTCACATTGCTGACCTCGGCACTGCGCGTCACATTGCTGACTGGTGTACTGTGTGTCACGCAGCTGGCCTCTGTATTCTGCATTGCACCACTGACTTCTGTACTGTGCGTTGTTACTGATCTTTGTACTCTGCGTCACACCGATGACCTGGAGGAGTTAGGCTGGGGCAGGGTAGGGGTAAATTTTGAACCCTGTATATATAGATCTATAAATATATATATCTATAGATCTATAGATATATATATCTATAGATATAGATATCTATATCTATATCCATATATCCATCCCTGTTTCATCATCTTACGACGCATGTTCATGTGGGGGGCAGTCAGAATAAAGGCTATCCTGCCTTTATGTTGTAATCACCATGGCTACTTACATATGAATTTCTCCTGAAAATTACCCTGAAATTAAAATATAGCGCTGGCACTGTACTAGTACAGGCTTAAGCAGCCAGCTCTTTAGGGATGCTTACCTTATTTTTTATGTAGAGATTAGCATTGGCTTCAAGCAATATTGGAATTATGGCCTGGGACTTCATTTTGCAGGCATAGTGGAGGGCAGTGTTTCCACTCTAGAGAAAAGAGAAAGGCTTAATACAGTACAATAGTATACCAGCTGTCACTTACTTGCATGAGAGAAAAATTTATTTTTTTAAAGCACATAACCCATTACACTTAAGCTGTCATGTTTTTTTTATTTTCCTTTTCCCCTAAGACAGTTGTCACAAGTTTCCCCTTTGGTAGATTTCCTTTCAACCCCTGTTATGGTGGCACCTGTGAAAATCTGAATTTCCCATGACTTTTCCAGGTGACAACAGTCTCCCTGACAAATAGAAAAGATGAATCTACAAAGCACAGAAAGCATTAAAAACCTGACCAGGTAAAACTTTCCCACTCCATCTTAAACCACCACAAGTTTTCCAGTTGCTGTTCTGATGCAGTACAACTTGACCTTGGGTAGCTGAAGCAAATAACAGAAAGCCCTGGGAAGGTTGGATGGGTTCCTGATATAAGTTGCATGGTTTAACCTGCACAGTGCCTAGTCATTAGCAGCTTTTTTTTGCAGCCATAATGTCCCCCAATGTTAAACAGCATTTGACCAAACTTAATTTACTGGCAAAAATAATAAATTTGATAGCTCATCCAAGGCAGAGACGAATGCGACAGGTTTTACAGTTTAAGGCCCCCTTCACACAGGCTGATCAGGAGAGGATCCCTGCATGGATTTTCTCCTGATCAGGGCATTACGGAGCCAATGTCTTGTGATGTAGGGAAAAAATACATTTACCGGACCCCATGCCAGTCTATGGGGAATTGGATGTAAACAGCCATGTTTCCATTTACATCAGATTACCCCCGAACCGGCACAATCTGGTCCGGCAAAACGGAACACTGTTCCATTTCTTTTACCAGACCTGGCTGGAGGCGGGCTAACTAGGTGTAAACAGACACCAGTCTGTTTACACACAGTTGCCCATAGACTTGCATTGGGCATCTGACTGGGTTCACCTGAAGAACTGACAGGCAGATCAGATTGGATCAGCCATGTAAAAGAGGTCCAAGTGTTAAAGAATTTGGCAGCGCTCTATTTTTAATGACTACAGTTTGGACTGTTGTATCGTTTTACCTACGAAAAAAGATCTAATAGAACATCTCCATGGTAAATGGCAATATTAACAAGAGATTTAACATTCTAAAAATAGTGGTTTAACAGTAAGAGAAGTGCATACAAATGTTCAGCATAGTAAGTCAGTTCTTACAGGAACCAGAAAATGTACTATATTGTAAACTGTGTTCTAAGCAGTCAATTATTGTATGCTTTACTACTTCATAGTCAATGATTTATGACTTCATAAATCATGTGGGTCAAACGATTTCAATTAGTTTTTCTCTTTATCAAGTAGTACTCTGTCTGATTCTTCATTTTGCTTCTTAAAAGGCTTAAGGAAAAGAGATCAAAGAGATTTTGAAAGACAAAGCCATGCTTTGGCAACTATTTTGTTAGGCTGCTGCTTTATTTAAGAGGACAGCCAATTATAAAAAAAATATAGAAAACATAAAAGAGATAGCTAGTTAACTTTATATTGTCTACATTGTAGTAACTTAGAAATCATGGGGCTCAAATCACAAAACTAACACACCAGGATATGTATACCCATTTTCGAAAAAGATAACAGTAATTACTTAATATTTCCAATAAAATCAGTCGCATTGCGAAATTAAAGAGCCTTAACCTAGTGTTCTAGCTTTGTAAATTAAGCATATGGCCATTGAATACATAGAGATGGAGAATGAAGATGTACAGTATTTAACAGTGTAAAGACATTTCATATAGCGTACACTCAGGTTTTATTCTTTGGTTTGATGATGGAATTAAACCTTTTAAAACAGCATCTAAGAAGAGCTGGAAATTGTTGCTTTGGGGACATTGCATTCAGGTATTAGCCCTCTAATGCACAATGGAAGTAAACCACATACAGCTGCTTAATGTGTTGTCAGCGTATGAGCTCACTGCTACCAATTCATCACTATTAGCCAGCTGAGGCACTTGTGAGATGATACAAAAGGCTGGAGGCTTTTTCCTTGACTAGTGTGTCAGATGAAGAGTATGATAGGCTCTTGGCAAGATCAGAAAGACCAAGACCTGAAGAACATGACAAGCGATCAAAATACTATTTATTTCAGTATCCATCTTAATGAATTTAAATGGTGAACAAATAAAGGCCTACTAAAGGCGCCCATACACTTGCCGAATTTTGGCCGGTTTTTAATGTACTGGATGAAATTCACACAGTGTTCGGGGCTGTCGGCTCCCTTTCAGCCAGCATTATTTGATCAGCTGATCGAAAGAGCCGGCAGGAAAATCTTCGTACGATCAGAGCCGGCAGCCAATGAACTGTCCGCTCTGATTGGGTATTCTGACTTGTGCCGGCGGCACCTGTCATAATACAATGCAAACCGCTGCGATTCCTCGATTGACACACTGTTTGTGTTGGAGGAATCACGTTTATTTTGTTCGTTCAGCCTGCAGGTTGAACGGAAAAAAATTGATAGGTGTATGGCCAGCCTAAGAATCTCAGGCTTCTACACAACATGACGCTTTACAAAAAGTATATAAATCTTCCACAAGAATACCATCATTGTATACAAATTTTTAAAATGCACTCCCAACTTGTGTTAATGGTGATATGCAGTCTTGACAGATTTCTTCCCTTTACCAACGCCTATCCTCCGCTAACAATAAATGACCTAGTTTGGTTAATTGAGAACTAGACATAGTTCTCCTAGGTTCCTATATTGTTTCTGTTTAGTATGTATGATTTGTTAACTTAAATAACATTTATTGAAACAGAAGAAAACTATGCCTACTTGCCCACCAAAAGGTGGGGTCTGGTGGGCTAAATCATCGCCTGGTTTCTTGGATCGCTTGGTGTCTCCAGTGGGCAAATTTCCTATAGTTCTTGTCTCTCTAACTGCCTGCTGTGTAATTTTGGGCGTCATGGGGCATTCCCACTCACCCTGTTGCATTCTCTTTAATATAAAGTGGATTTAAAAAGCCATCAAGGAGCATAAAAATCCACGTGTAATGTTTTGGAACTTAAGCACAGACATCGGACTATTTGTGTTCCTGACTTTCAGGCTGGAGGCCTAACTGCATGCTGAAACTTCTACAAAGTGCACCTCATTGCAACATATAGTGGGAAGTATTTATCCCTTCCTTCTGCTGAACATCTGTAGGGAACTGAAAGACCAACTTATCTGTACCCATTCACAGCCAGCCCAAATGGGAGCCTCTCTATGAACCAGAGTCTACTGTGTTACAGCTCCTGCACAGGGACCCTCAATATGCCTTCCTTGGTGCATATGTGTCAGTGCAGCACAAAGAACCGACAAGCATCATGCAACTAGAATTTTTTTAATAGGTCAGCAATAGCTGCAGGTTTTCCTGTAAGCACCCACTAAGGACCATGTTAAGAAGGTTATTACTTAAGTGTTTCTGTAGAGGAATTAAACAGTGAAAGTTTAGGAGAACTCTAATTTTTAATGCTTTGCAGAGATTACTTTTCTTGAAATAGTCTATCAGAGGCAGTGTTATATATTTGTAAGTTATAGGGAAAATGCTGAAGAAAGAACCTTTTCCCTTAATCTAAAAATTGCTGCGTTTACCTGACTTGATACAGTGGGAGCTGTTAAATAGACAGTAATTAGAAATGTTCAAAAAGTTTTGCTGAAAGAAGCTGTAAAGAGGTTGCTGATAATTAAAGATGAAGAAAGATACGGAGTTGGCTTTGTAGTCTCTAATGTCTTATATAACCATGTCTATTGACCCCCCTCCACCCCCCTTTTCATTACATAGTAACAAAATAAAGTGAGTAAACATTAGATGACAGTATTTTATCATAGAACTTACATTATCTACAGCATTGACATCAACACCTGAGTGCAGTAAAAGTCTGATCAGCCTCTCATTCTGTTTGCCCTTTGAAATCTGTAATAGGACACACACAATAAAAGTGTAATTGGTATATTGGTGCCAAAGTAATGTATTTTGACTTTAGAAGGAAAAAAAAACCACAAAATAGGACAAAGATTCTTGAAACCATTATTACAGACACCTTTAATCTCATGGATAATGAATACTAAAAAGGCACCTCTTGATAAACTGGGATTCCAGAAGATTTTTTTTTTTTCATCTAGCATGAATGATATACAGTAGATACATGAAAACTATGAATTGATTTGGAGTATCTATTGAAAAACATTTTCTTCAGGGCGAAGAATATTTATTGCATATAAAGTTTGTGTTCTGCCAAGTGGCCTGCCAGCAATATACACTATTACCAAAAGTATTGAGACACCCCCACAAATCATTGGATTCACGTGTTCCGTGAAATTTCCTTGCTACTAAAAATTTTTGCGGTCAACTGTTAGTGGTATTATAACAAAGTGGAAGCAACTGGAAACAGCAACTCAGCCACGTAAAAATGACAGAGCGGGGTCAGCTAATGCTGAAGTGCACAGTGCGCAGAAGTCATCAACTGTCTGCAGAGTCAATAGCGACAGACCTCCAAACTTTGTGTGGCCTTCAGATTGGCACAACAATGCGTAGAGAGCTTCATGGAATGGGTTTCCATGGCCGAGCAGCTGCATCCAAGCCTTACATTACCAACTGCAATGCAAAGACTTGGCTGCAGTGGTGTAAAGCACGCCGCCAATGGACTCTAAGAGAGGTGGAGACATGTTCTCTGGGAGTGATGAATCACTCTTCTCTGTCTGGCAATCAAATAGACGTGTTTGGGTTTGGTGGTTGCCAGGAGAACGGTTCTTGTCTGACTGAATTGTGCCAAGTGTAAAGTTTGGTGGAGGGGGGATTATGGTGTGGGGTTGTCTTTCAGGGCTTGGGCCTGGCCCCTTAGTTCAAGTGAAGGGAACTCTTAATGCATCAGCATACCAAAGACATTTTGGACAATTTCATGCTCCCAACTTTGTGGGAAGAGTTTGGGGATGGCCCCTTCCTGTTCCAACATGACTGCACACCAGAGGAGAGCACACAGCAAGATCCATAAAGACATGGATGAGCGAGTTTGGGGTGGAGGAACTTGACTGGCCTGCACAGAGTCCTGACCTCAACCCGATAGAACACCTTTGAGATGAATTAGAGTGGAGACTGCGAGCCAGGCCTTCTCATGCAACATCAGTACCTGACCTCACAAATGCGCTTCTGGAAGAATGGTCAAACATTCCCATAGACACACTCCTAAACCTTGTGGACAGCCTTCCCAGAAGCGTTGAAGCTGTTATAGCTGCAATTGGTGGGCCAACTCAATATTGAACCCCACCGGGATGCCAATAAAAGTTCATATGCGGGTAAAGGTACGTTCCAATACTTTTGGTAATATAGTGTATATGTGACCAGCTGCATAGTGGGCCAGGCCCCTGGAGCAATTCACAGAGCCTGACAAGTTGGGCACCAAGGGTTTATGGTATTTTTATAGCAGGTCAGGGCAGACTAAGTAGGTAGGTATACTAGATAGATAGAGATAGATACATAGATAAGACTGTATGGCCTCTCCTCCTAAGATGGATATAGCCATTGATGGTGCGCAGATATGGTACGTTTTCTCTAAATTCCAATGACATTTGAGCAGGAATAGCACAGGCAAATTATTTAGTTTATTTGCACACTGTAAAAACAAATAGCTATCCTAACTTAAATACATTTTGTTAACTTTACTCAGGTACCAAAAATCTGCCTTCTTACTAATGTTTATTAAGTTAGAGTTAATTGCAAGGAGATGAAATCATTTTACTTATTGTCCTGAGTGAAGCTAACTTAAAAAAATCAAGTCATAGCAGTGATGTCATATCCTCTTCCTGTTACTGCAATGATTTGTGGGGCAGAAAAAGCCAGTTCAGCCATATTTTTCTCATGAGAGAAGGCCTGAATTTTTGCATCCTCTACCCTGGGATTGCATTGCTGGTAAGATCACACAATCAATTGTGCTTAAAGTCAGCACCAGTAATGCACACTTCCATAATAGTTGTATTTCCTGCATATTAGTAGTTTACAGTGATTTAGATTTTTAGTAGCCGCAGGTGCACCTAAGTGTTAGGCTGCATGGCATCTCCATGTAACTGTACATATGTTATTGTTCCCACACCAGTACATTGCATTTACTCTGTAATTTCTAATTTTCTCCACCAATATTACCCCTTCCTAATTCTAGTTAACAAATTTAAAGGCAGTACCATACCTGCCAAATGTCCCTGATTTTTCTCCCCTGTCCCTGGAAGCTAGCTGAGGCTGTCATACTTAAGTCTCATGAAGCTCATCCCAGCCCTAAAGTGCTGCAGGATTTACATATAAATGACTTGTGATTATTGTATTTCTGTCCTTATTATTATAAATCCTCCTGTACATATACTATTCTAAAATTAAATTGTACAATAGGTTACCAATGTGCCACCATGCCTATTTATAATTTGATGCTCCACCCCATAGCATGCCTTCCCCGCCTACATTGGCTTGCTGATTCTGCAGCAAAAAAAAAGTGTCTCTGGATTTTTTTTAACCACTTGTGGATCCACCTATTGTAAACATACGGAGGGTCCGCAAGTCAGTAACACTAATAGCATATCTTCTCAGAAGCAGCACCCAGCGCGCACAAGCTTCTGACAGCGTGGGAGATGGGAGGCTGCACTTGGCGGTGGATCAGGTGAGTATTTAGAAGAAAAAAAAAAAATATTTTATGTTCCCGGGGACATAATTTGTATGGGGATGCTCTCCTCAATCTGGGGACTGTCCCCAGAAATCGGGGATGAATGTAGAGCTGCAACAACTAATCCACCAAGTCGATTATAATCGATGATTGAAAAAGTTCTCCCCAAGTTTTCAATCATCGATTATCGGCTTTCGATTAGTTGGCCCTGTTCACGGCTCCACACATGCCGCACCTCCTCCCCGTCTCACGATTGCCGCTGCTTGACCTACCTGCATCCACGCTTCACACACCGCACCTCCTCCCCGCTTGCCGCTGTTAGACCGGCCTGCATCCACGCTTCACACACCGCACCTCCGCCCCACCTCACGCTTGCCGCTGCTAGACCTGCCCGCCTGCATCCACGAGTGGCATACCTACCAGGGTCGCAGCAGTCGTATACGCGCACAGCACTGGCGAGGCATCCCTCCACTACCAGTGTTCTAACTTTCCTCAGCCCATACTCTACCGCGTCTCTTCCAGGTGCTCATACCATGAAGAAAGGGGGGTCATGAAAACAGCTGATTCAGTTGACTCGGCCCCACTGGAAGTGACACAGTCGAGAAAATATATAGGATTGAGAAAAATTATAGAACACTGACACTGTACGGCCCCTCCCACTCTCCTCCCACAGCTCACAGCCCAGAAGCATGGACAGCCAGCGACGGTCTACAGTGGGTGAGAGTGCCTAAGTAGTGGACATGGAGCGGAGTAAGGCCAGAACCATGTAGGGAGCCCAGTGGGAGGAGAGCACCATCCTACAGCCAGTCACCCTTTCATGGACTTACTAGAGTCCTCACATCTCCCGATCCATTCACACTACTGTTACATGAATGGCAAAAGTGGCAGACGGGAAGGCGGGGGAAGAGGCAGAGTGGGAGGGGGGCCAAGTTGTTGCACCATGGGCCTCTGGGTTGTACTTGCCCCCTGGGCTAAAAGTTGCCAGTCAGCCCCTGCTTCCTGTTCCCCGCTTCTATCCCCGCCACTGCCGGGAGCGTTGTCGGCAGAGATAGCGGCTGCGGTGAAGATAGGAGCGGCGGAGATAGCGACAGTGACGGCAGAGGTAGCGACAAGGCTGGTGGGAACTGGGAGGATGATGTTGAGGAACGTCTCCTGTTACCGGGTCTGCCAGGGCCCATTGAGCTGCATTGATTATGCAGCTCAGTTGCGGTCACACCACCGGAAATGAAGAGGAGGAAGACAGAAGGCTCCACAGAAGGAAGAAGTTTTCGGGGGGGAAAGAAGCAACTGCAAGATTACAGATGGAGCTTTCTAATGAAGGTAAGTAATCTTATTTTTATAAAAAAAATTTTTTCCTGGAGTTCTACTTTAAATGTTGGCAACAACGCAGTACTACCATCTGCAATGTTATTCCCAGATATTCTGGTAATACGGACGACTGGGCAGAACAACCACTGTCCTCATGATCGTGGGGGAGCAGAAACGAATAACCAAGTGGAGGGGGGCCGCGATCACCTGTGACCCATTTTTAGCTCACAGTGGGACTAAAGTCATGGCATGGTGTAAATGAGGCTTAAAGGAGATGTCTCACCAGAGATATTCTCCTTTAATTTCATTGGACATGGGACAAATTGCACTTAGTCTCATGTCAGAGGAGGGGGAGCGCTGAGTGCTGTATTGGGGAAGTCTGCTGACGAGTGCTCCCAAGCCCGTCTCCCCATCTACTGGGTTCTCCAGCAGACGGAGACCCCAAGAGAGGGGGCGGAGCTTAGCTGCCACTATCTTAGTGCTTTAGCCCATGTCCTATGTAATTAAAGAAGAATGTCTCTGGTGAGACTTCTCCTTTAAAGAATGTTTTCAAAAGCACAATGTCAGTTCACATAAAAGTAAGAAAAATACAAAAACAAAGTTTTAGAGAGCAATGTTACAGTTTAAAAGAGCAATGTCAGTTCCTATAAAAGTAAGAAAAATAAAAAAAATCATAATTGAATTTGGACTTATTTATTTTTTGTGTGCAACTATGAGAATGGGACATGTAGTTCATTAAATACCTAACATCCTGAAGATTTTAACCCCTTCATGACTGGCCATTTTTTTATGTTATTCAGCACTGTGCTACAAAGTGGCGTAACCAGAGTTATGGGCGCCCGGGGCAGAACATTTTTTTCCGCCCCCCCCATATTATATAAACATCCACTAGAACTGTACCCCCCACCCCCACACATATATATCAGCAAAGGAACTACAAGTGCAAGCATGCCATCATTGTCCCTGTACACCCCCCC